AACTTTGTTGAACTTCTGAAACCGTATGTGGTTAAATAATGACGAAACTTCAAGAGATTGCTTAATTGGATTGGAGGCATCTGATTTTTGATATGTGACACTAACACTGATATCATGGAACAGGGTGAAGTTAAACTTTAATCACCAGTATGTACCAACGTACAGATTACCTAGAACGCATAAACCATATAGGAAAGGACATTTTCCACTACACAGTAGGCATATTTATGACAAATATTCAATAAAAGGAATGAAAATGTCACACAGGATACCCTTCTCTGAAATCTAACAAAAATGACTCACTTTTCCATTCGACTGTCAACACAGTAATTTAATCACATTCAATACATGTATTTATCTAGGTCTTCTAATTCTAATAATAACCCCACTCTTTGTCTAATATACCCCTAACTTGGAAAATATCTTCAAACTAACCATAATCTAACTAGAACCAACACTAATACTAATATCTCCCTCATCAAGTTAACCTAACCCACACACATATTCTTAGCCTAAACCTTAAATGAATACTTCCTAAACCCAACCCATTTCATATAATAACACTTCATTAAGCATGTTTGATGCATGATTACAACACTATTTGCTAGTTTTCACTAACTTGTTCGCTGAGCGTTTCAAGTTCATTGTTGCGGTGCACAGCGTTGGTAATTATTGGTGATAAAAGTTTAACTTGACCTAAAACATCTCTGAAGAAAAACTAATAGAGAAATCAGTGATGTGTTTACCGTCAATGAGCCATTACATCGTAAATAGCATATATTAATGTCTCGTACAAGTTTCTTTGGAAACTCCACCACAAATGTTTTTTTCCGTAAATGAGCATGAACACTAAATATTCCGGCTATTGGAAATTAGGTATGTATGGCAAATTTTAACTGTACACGCATGTGGATCTTTGTCAAGTCTTTTATGAAGTTTGTAAATAGTGGTTAAAAAGAGAGACTAACTGTTAAGATAACTGTAGCAGAGTCATGTTCGTAAGTCTATCTTATTTTGACATCAGAAGGACATTGTAAGATACTGTTAGTGGAAAAAGGTTACTGATGAGGAATGGACTTCTACGGCATACCATATCTTCCATTGACTATTTATTTGACTCACTATCAATTATATATTTTCATCGATTGCTCACTCCCCAGTTTTCATAATGCGTCTACTGAGTATCCGCACGAAAGCAAAGTAGTAGGTGCATTCAGGTCATTGCTGAAACATATCTATCAAAGCTACAGGATTTCATCATGAGCTGACATTAGTTAGAGAACCATTGGAAAACCTGGAAGTACTGGACAGCTGTTTCTTCCTAGTTTGGGACCCTTCAGCAGTACGCACCCACCGGGATTCGAACTCAGGACCTTCTGGGTTGAATATCTCTCAAAGACTCACAGTATATGACAAACTTTTACTGATTTCGTATTTGACTTCAACGTAACCCTTATTTTTCACAACAGCTTCACATTTCATGACTTCTCAAAAACTGCTAAACTTTTTTATGTCAGACAGTGTTAACACTGTAAAGCAACCTGAAATTAAGACTGGGAGCTTGTATTTGTACAAAAATCTGAAGCAAGTGGGAAATTGGTTCAATCATACCGTAACAGTATACACAAACAAATATATAATCTGTATGTTCACTGTTTATTTAAACAGTGCACACAAAATGTACTGTCTTTTTTAGACATTCTGCCAGAAGTACATGTATTGGTTGAATAATAAAAATCATATACTACTTCTTAGAATGCTTAAATGTTTTGACAAAAATTGTAGAAATCAAAATGATAACAGGCAAAAATGTGAATATTTTAGAAATTATGCAAAACCACTGATTTCAGTTGTCACTCATTTAGAATGCCAGTATGGCTTTATTTGATCTACGATGAACCAGGCAAGTGGTTGAATTTACGGAAGTGTGACAGATATGATTTGAAGAAGATAAAGGGCCACGGCAGTAAAAGGGATTGGAAAATCTACTTCTTCATACAGTGTTCAGGGCTTTTCTTATGAATAAAAAGAGCTTTCGCTATGAACAGATGTGACCAGAAACCTTTAGAATGACCTTACCTTAGCTTGAAACATTTTTCTCTTGGTATCGAATGATATGTAAGAACGAGGTGTTCAAGATGGTATAAATGATTGACGTTTTCTGTAATAGCTTAAAACATTATTTAACTATACAGCTTTGAAGAAAAGTTATAGAAAGAATAGTCTTTGATGATCTACGTTTTTCAATTTATTTTTAGTTCTTTTGTCCTGTGACTAATAAGGAAGCAATGAGCGTATTCATTTACTAACAAGTGGAATTAGAAATTCTTGGCTAAGGAAACATCTGTGCTCGTTTTATTCCCTTCCTCCTTCCCAGATTCAGAGAGTAACAAAACTGCTTGAGCATTCACAAGATAAGATGCAAATATTGGCCAATCTACAAATATCAGTGAAAAAAGGTTTATTAGTGCAGAGTCAGATATCTATGTTCATAATAAATGATTTATTTAGCAATTCACAGCTTCGTACTTCATAAATTACACTTATATTCTCAGTAATTATGTCGTCTATATCCAAATATAATCCTTAAAACTGTTGGTTATTTTTTGCCCAAAGTATTCAAAATGGCACCAAAACGTCTACTGAAAAGAAGACAGAATAACTTATTACTTGTTCATGAATTTCAACTAAAATTCTTCAGAATCAGCAGTTCATCTTTTTACAAGAGGTGTTGAATATGCAAATAATATACAATACAAGATATTCATATTTGTGGAATTTATGTAGCAGAAGAGGAGTGAAGGTTATTTGAGAACTTTATTTGCAGCAGGATTCAATCGAACAGCCTTTGGTTTACCAGGTTGATCATCTACGAATGAATCTATGATACCCAGATGCCAACGTGGCTATCATTTCGCTGCGAGTGTCAGGGGTCATGACCAAATCCTATATGAACTACTGAAAAGTAACCGTCCGTTTTACATTTGCAGCTTGAGCATTTGAAGGATTAACATGCAAACATTAATCAATTAATTGAAGAAATTAGGAAGTGAATGTGAACATTTGAGTGAGTTGAAACTGATCTTATAAGGCGCCAGTTTCTCAGCAAGAATTTACGGGTAAATAATCCCATAGTTTCATTTATCACCAGTTTGCGTTCCATTCAGCATTGTTACATTGCTCATCGTAGTTTTATTCGTCTTGTCATCAGAATACCTCAATGAAGCTTTGTTTATTTGTTTCCTCACAACGCATACTATGCACTAATGTGTAAATATTTAAACTTTATAACCAGTGGAAATTAGAAGTAATATTTGCACTAATCTATTTACATGTTTAGCAGAGCACTGAAATCTTGGCTTTGATAACCCATTGATGGATGAAAGCACAGACAAGAATAACCTTGTTGAATAATGATTAGGTAATTAAGGGTTGGTTTGTAGAGATTTGGTTGGTTTCAGGATTTCATCATGAGCTGACATTAGTTAGAGAACCATTGGAAAACCTGGAAGTACTGGACAGCTGCTGTTTCATCCTAGTTTGGGAATCATCGGCAGTACGAACCCACCGGGACCAGTGGATCGGGTCCCAGTGGCTTAATGGTATACGAGCTCGCCTTGTAACCGGAAGGTCCTGGGTTTGAATCCCGGTGGGTGCGTACTGATGAAGAGTCCCAAACAAGGACGAAACAGCTGTCCAGTACTCCCAGATTTTCCAATGGTTCTCTAACTAATGTCAGCTCACAATGAAATCCTGAAATTATTAGTTAAACTGGTGATGCAGCATAATAACATTTATAAATATAATAATTTACTCCAGAAACACTGGTACATATTCAAGATTTCTACAAATATATGAAAGAAGTATTTCAACAAGGAGTCTCACCCTAATATTTTCATTTATAGAGAAAAAAATGGTATGCCGAACAGATGGATCGCGTAACCTTTTTGGTACCAACCTTTTGGGCTGAATTTTGACGTTTTCAGTGAACTCGGCGAATTCATAGCAACCTTGTATTTATTTATTAGGTCGAGAACTGTAATATCAGTTTCAACGCAAAACATCTACAATAATGAAAAGATTTATGTAACTGTGAAAGACTATATCTAAATCCCTTTGCGTTAAATTCTCTAACTTCAACAATTTGCTAATGGTGCATGTATGGGAAATCGGTCTCTCCGAGTTTGTGCGTATACCCTATTGATAAATACTAACAAGTATCAGAATTCAAGCAAGATTTTCATTCCGTAGACCAACAGGACTTAGTATGTTTCTGTAACCTTTAGTGCCAATGAGTCAAACGCAGTCATTAACGGTGGTGATAATAAGTACACAGCTGAACAGTAAATCTGAAAATATTATCTGTAGCGAAACATTTTTTTGATGTAACCTTCTAGCACAACCTGAAACTTAAGTAGTTATGCCTCTTTAGCACTCTGACAGTCAAAAACAAATTAAAATTATATATGAATTAGAGATAGCTATCTAGATAGAAATCTTCGTGTATCTCACTATATTTTAATGTATTTTTCACAGTTGTACTTCTAGCACAAAAAAGCCTGTTTTGGTTTGATATGAAGGTTCAGTGTTGGATTCTAAAGAAGATTAAAAGCGCTCACTGTCGTCAGTCTATACAGAGAATCACTTAAATAATTCGCATTTAATTTTTTGCTAAACTTAATGAAAATTATCACTACAGTCATGTCTGCAATCAAATAATGAGAATAAGCATATAGTTGGATTGTGTTAAGGATTATATTTTCAATGTAGTTTCTAACAGAATAATTTTTATTGCATATACTGACCTTGAAAGCTAATCGTTTACCTTTTTTGTGTCTTAGCAACGCCAATATCTCTCTAGGTCAGAGCGAAAATTTTTGTTGTATTCATTTGTCTTAACACTGAGACAGTGAATAGCTGGATATAAATCTTAGCATTTCTGAAGGATATATTTCTCCTTAAAAACCGTCTTCAGCTGCAAAATTTGACGCACACTTAGGATGACAAGCAAAAAGTCACCTAATAACGTTTCTCTTCGTAAAACGAAAGAGTGAGTTTTTAGTTTTATTACTGATAAACGGGTACTTTGATTACAAGGCAATTTTTTTCGTTGTAAATGATCATTAAGACCTAGAGTTTGATAGATATTGTAAGTAGTAGGTCGCTAATGTGTTGACCAACTTCAGAAATGAACGAAACAGGTATATCTACAGATGTATACATAGGTGTCATATACCCTGCCAATGGACAAGCAAACTGAGTAACACATCATGTTACAGATTGCCTTCAGTCGAAATGTAAGTTGATGCATTCAGTTTTTAAAGCAATAATCAACAGACATGTGCTAAGTGAAATACATCAAACATGACTGACTTTGGCATTTGATGCCACAATTGACAAAATGGGATTTTTTTTAAATACTCTGCGAATGAGAACTACTGGTCACACCTGACATTGACAGGTAGTCACAGTGTATTTGAGACTAGCCGACATTAAAATCTATGGATAGTTTGACCATGGATGAGAAGTTAACTAACGTCCATGCCCCCAATTAATAAAATTTAAAAAATCAAGTACCAATCCCTAAACGCTGCCCTTAACATACATTCACTAAATTATCCGTTTAGATTGGAAGGGGAGATTTCGTTTGTTTGGATAAATTTGTGTTGATGCTTGCAGTTGGCCAGAGGTATACATTTAGTGAATTTGTTATCTTTAGTTCAGAATGGATTATTTTTCAGTTACTTCCATCATTCAGACCTCAGTTAAGCAAAAATACAAAATTATAAAGAAGAACTGTCTGTAGGAAATCAAATGTCAATACATTTTAAACGGAGAAATTCAAACCCTTGAGAATGTTCAGATACTGACCAATTAATGCATCTGCTTCAGTTTCAGTGACTATACAAAGGATCAGTTAGAATCATATTTGGAGATCTTGGCTTTCAGTCTACAACTGGAAGGTTGCCTACCACCTATGGATATATGAAATGCACAGAAAACAGCTGATCAGTACTCACAAATTAGTGTTAGCTCTTAAAGTTATATTTAATCTGTGATCAAATTCAAATTCTCTATCTATATGCTCTTGGTCGAGTGCCTCCCACCCATGAATGTGGTCTGGGTTCGATTTACTATCAAAGCACTCCTAAATCTTGCTTGGCAGAAAGTAAGCTCAGTAAAGAAGGAAGGCTGGACCTGAAGCTAGCAGCATCACAGCTACTGAAACTGCAAAAAGGCTTGAGGCCCTCTGTTCCACAGGGAACGCAAAGGAATGAAAATGAAAATATTACTAGTCGAGTATGAGTAATGCTGATGTGAATACATTTACTTGAGATAACTGAAAGACCAGATGACTTTGGATGATTGATTTAAGGAAATGAAGATATGCAAACCACTCAAATAAATGTTGAAGAGTATGAAATATTTCCATATCATGAATTAAAAGTAGGTCTGAATGAAGAATATTCTTTACAATAAATTCTCCTTCGGTTCTTACAGTTATAAAATATAGTGTTTATCAAGACAATAAAAGCCAGTTACGTGGCGGATACATTTTTAAGTGGAGCGGTAGATTAGTTAGAGAGTGACAGGATAAATTATTATTATAATTATATCCTTTAATTCCTAGAGGAACATAGGGCTCCAGCTGTGCATCTCCGTTGCCTGCGGTTTTCTGCCAACTTTTTCACCCCGCTCCAAGTCTGCCCACATGCTTTCATCTCCTCTTCACATGACCTCCTCCAAGTCACCCTTGCACTGACGACCAACTCGCCGCCCGCTTCCCTTTCGGGTTTCACTCGAGCAATGGCTTGTCTAGTGATGTCACTTAATGGATTCCTCAGAGTATGGCCAATCCATCTCCATTTCTTCCTGCCTATTTTTTTTCACAATCGGTTCCTGCTGTGTTGGTTCCCTCATTGCCAGAGATCCCTGTTGGTGATCTTTTCTGGCCGGTCATCTAATCTTGAGTATTGAGCGAAGACAGCTGTTAATAAAGGTCTGAAGTTCGCTTGAGATGCTCTTTATGACGCTCAGTGCAAGTCTCTGATCCGTATAGTGGCACTGACTTCACATTGGAGTTGAAAATCCAGATCTTATTTTTGATTCTGAGTGCTGTTGACCTCCACACAGAGTTAAGAGTAATGAAAGCTTGTCTTGCTTTTCCGATTCTGGATTTGACATCCTCCTCAGTTCCGCCTGTAGTTGAAACGATGCTTCCCACTTAGGTGAAGGAGGTTGTTTCTTTCAGGTTCCTCTCATTTATGCTGGCTGGCTGTCGTCTGTTGTTGCTGTTGATGTTGGCCAAGAATCTTCATCACCTCTGTTTTATCTATGTTCACTTGAAGTCTTATCTTTGATGCTTCTTCTGCCAGCTTGTTGCTTTTCACTTGCATATCTTCTAGTTTGTGGGAAATCAGACATATATATATATATATATATATATATATTGTCGAATGCTAGACGATGATGATAATTAGTCATAATAGATTCATACAATGTGAGGATGGAAAACTTACATGCCAGTTCAAGATAGTAAAGCGTGTCTGGTGAATTACTCTTAAAAAGCAGTATCAATTAATAAGGTGTTAGAAGGAGTGCTGTGAATAGTTTATCATGAAATAATGTTTATGTGAAATGAATGAGGTTCAATGATACACTAAGAAAAGAAATAATATCATTATTGACAAATTAGAATAGTGTGAAGGGAAAATTCAGTAGCTTTGATAGAACGCCGGAATGAGGGGTAATAGACATGGAACATTATGATTAAAACTGTCTGGGTGAAGAGTAAACAAGCCAAAAAGAAACAATACAGGGGAAAAGCAAAGGGAAAGCCATGCCTGGTGAGGAGAAGTTTTAAGACAAGTAGAGAAACAAAAGTTTATAAAGAAACTATTTCACAATATATGATTTTTGACCTCTTTATATGCTCCAAATTAATAATAATTATCATACAGTTTAGTGTTTCTAAAAACAACTACCTTGTTAAATGAATTGGATCAATCTTTCTTTAAATCTAAAATTGTATGGTATGAGCTTGGAATTTTGTTCGTTGAATCACTTGGGATGTACGCAAGATATTCTCTCTACCCAGTGGACAATTCATCACTATACTAGCTGACTTTATCAACGTTGGATTCCTATAAAAATCTTTTTCGAGAGGTAGAACACTTTTGAATTGTTGATTGTATAATGGAAGATAAAAGACTTTTTCTTAATAAGTCAGGTTCTACTTTTACTTATCCCAGTCTCTGTTGTTAATACTTCATTTCCTCGACAGAGATGTTAACAAGTATTATAGACAGTCATAATCTTTTGGAATAGAATTAGGAAGTCATTTGTAAACACAGTAATAACTGGAATTTGTATTCAGAATCATCTAGAACGAACAGGGATTGCAGTAATCATTTTGTATAAATACGAGAACCTGAACTCAGACAGACAGGCAAATTGTCAGTCACTGTCATGAGTCAGTTATGTAATCAGTATATGTTTCCCTCAGAAAAATTTACACAATAGAATTGGGACAGTGATTTAATTCATCCCATTTACCTGCTCAGTTAATCAGAAGGCAATCAAGCAAACAGAGATGACTCATTGGTTCATGTATGCAATAGATGTGTGACTCTATGATTACTAACAAATCAACACTGTACTGTAGTTGCGATAACAAATTAGAGTTAGTGAAATGCGCCTATTTTGTTTTCAAAAAGTTTAGGGTTGATATTTTCGAAGCATAGCTCAGACGACTTGTAGACTATTACATTAGTATGTATATGATTGATGTTACAGTATGAGTTTCGGTGTTGGGAAAAGGCTAGCATCATTTAATTGTAGAATAGCACGACCTATTTGTAACTGGGTTTCACCATGCATATTTCCATTATTTATCTTCTGGATATTTCATAAAGGTATTACAGCCATTACTAATTTATATATGCCCCTTATCAGGTTAAGATAGACTCATCGGCTTTACATATTGGTGACATGTCCCGTTCGCCTTACTTTCAGCTTTATTTCAGTCGAGTTCTACCTTGATTTTAGACACCTTAAAGAAACTCGTTAGGAATATTTGGACGCAGGTCTTGTGCTTATTCACACTCGTTATCAAGTCATATCTGCAGGCTCGTCAGAAGTGATATCATCTCGACAGCAGTCAGGTTTGCAGTGCGATCAGCAAGACAGGCAGTCCTAAAATTCTTATTAGTACATGGGTGCTTTGCAGACACCCAATAATGACTAGTGCTAATAAGAGAACAGCTTATGCTTAGAACATTTTGCAGATTGTCTACAACCGCCTAAGGTCATTTTATAGTGCAGCGGAATAGTACATCAATCAGCTAGATTGGTGGACATTTTGTAAACGTAACTGACTGGATTCAAAAGACCAAAAATACTGAGTGATGGATAAAAAATTGGCAACTCAGCTAAGAGAATTTTCTCTGTCGACGATGTCATCTTCATAGGTTGTACAGTCGTATTTCTATCTACCAAAACTCATATCAGTCCATTACTAAATAACACGGGTGTGCGACATAACTGGTACAGTAAGTCAGAAGTGGTGTCTGAAGATTTAAGTAATATGTAATAATTTTCGACACGATGGAATTAAGGGCACGACACTTTATAAGATGAGTATTTTTATCGGAGGAGAAGTAAGATGGTTGGGTTACGAGCTTGTCAATTGTAAAGTAAGTGGGTAAACAATTCCCAACAAAATGCTCAAAAGGGAAATGTAATAGTGATTATAGTGAATTAAGTAGTAAAAATAGATGCAAGCAAGTGTGGAATAGCTTCAGACCACAGTAGAATAAGAAACTGAACAAACCTTTTCTGTAAGCAGATTTCGAGGTTACATTGATGAACTGCTAGCGTGTGTCCAAAATTAACCATACTGGAACTATTCGGTCTCACCTTGTGGAGCTCTGTGGCCTTAGGTAATCACAGAAAATATTTTAGCCACGTGTTCTAGGCGTCATAGTAAGTAGCAGTTAAAAAACTTATTCAGTTCCTACTTCCTTTGCTTAGGACTACATTCCTAAACAGTAGTAGTACTTATATCTTAAGGTGAGTGTGGTGAAGATGGCGGCCGTCAGGTTTAGGTTTTTATCCAGTTTCTGGGTGTAGAAGCATGGGACATACAGGATGTGCCCTTGTGTGACAGGGGATACCATATGGTCTGGTTCTACACCTCATGTAACAATAAAATCCTGAAAGTTTTATAGAGTTATGAAGCTGTTAAAGATGTTAAAAAACGTTAAGAAAAATTCTGATTTTATTTTATTTTTGGTACAGAGTCATCATGACAAATCAGTCAGCTACACCACGAGAGGCAACGGTTGCCTTGTGGCCTGAATGGAATGATCAGGATGTTAACAGTGAGAAATGGGTAAATTATTTCCTGCTATAAGCTAACAAATATTATCATTATTTACCTTGAAGGATTCATCGCAGAAACCTAAAGAAAAGACGAAGTCACCAGCGGTAAGTTCAGGTAATCTATAATGGTGCATTGTTTAATTTTTTTCTGCATTTAGCAATCATCGTCCTATTTTATTGATCCTGAAACGCAAGTTCTTTACCCACCTTCGATAGTACCTGCGTGCACAAGAAGACCTCAAGAATTTATCACCGACAAGGTACTCTATTAGTTCAGTTTTATGGAGATGATAATATTTAATTTTACCATCCTAATCAGCATTATTTTGGAAGAAAGTCTTTCATATTTCCTCCAATAAAAAATAGTTTATTTGCAAAACACGTTATTCTGTTCGTTTGGGACACATAACAGCTATCCTTTCAATCATATCATAAAGAGAGTCACTAATGTCAGCTCATGATGAAATCATGTAACCAATCAAATCCCTACAAACCAACAATTGAAAAAGAGTACTCTAAGATATCACAGTAAACTAACTATTTTTGCCTACTGTTCTCTCGCTTTTTATCCTACTAATGCTAAATAAGACCAATGAATTAGTCAGTTTATTTTTGTGTAGCTTGAAAGGGCTTTCCAGATGACAGTATATATATATATGCTTTATGGTATAAGCGATAGCGAATTGCCTAACTAGTACTTGAATAAACTTTATTCGAAACTTAATATGATGATGTAGTTGCATGATTGTGTAGATTCAAAAACAAACCTGTTTAAAAGCATAATGCATCATTACTACTGACTGCATAACGTTAATCAGAAGTGTACTGAAGTGACCATATAGCCAACTGACCAGTGCAAAGAACTACACAGCGTGATAATGAGTACTCTGCAATAACCAATCACTAAATTAATGTATTTGACCTGAAAGTGAAACTTTCTTCTCAGGAAATGGAAGTTCATTGGACAAATTGTTTTGAAGGCTAATAAACTAAGCAATGACTTGTCAGTATACCATCGAACTATATTTGGCTTAAAAAGGAACATGTTTTCTGGTTGTCCAGTTTAGCGATGAAACTAAATAAATAAATAAATCAAAGTTGACCATTAAAGATATAGTGGTCATTATCAAATGGCATCCATCTGGTAAGTAACAGAGAGTTTAGTGTTTCATTCACATCATACCTAAATAATAATATTTCACCGTTTTCTTCGTTGATACACTCCAGCTGAAACATAATCTGTTCTTTTTGTACCTTCTTTCATTTATTAGACTCCAGTTGTTTATGATCCAGAGTGTGTAAATCACATTGACTTACTGTACTGCAATGAACATTTATTTAACATTGAAGTAAGTATCTGGAAAAGTAATAACAAATACACTTTCTAGATATTAAGATGGATTACATGTGAAATACAAAATCTATGGCTAGCTTGCAGAACACCAGTAACAACATCAACACTTGCAGCTGTCAGTAATCAAACAGAGACAAATGAATTCACTGTAATGAATCCATCCAGTTCACCAGTGTACACATACGAATGGAAACCTTGGGAGCATATCTATGCAATGACAAAAATTACTAAAGATAATGTTAATACACCGCAGTATAATCCTTATGGGAAATATATTGTTAAACTTTATTGGATGGTATGTTGAAGAGTATCAGCTTTTCCAGATATTCAGCGTGTCTTGTTTTAATAATATATCTACAATTGTCACTACTGTCTAATTTATATCTTAGCCACTGGTAGTATACTGAAAGACAATAAAATTATTATCAAGTTTATTTGTGACTTAGTTAAATTTGGATAGTTGATCGAGCTATTCGGCGATAATATACTCACTACAGTCGGTATTCGTTGACTTGAAGCAGATGGTTGTAAATGTTTTGAACGTCATTAATAACGATGATTATAATGATAAATTATTATTATTATATCCTTTAATTCCTAGAGGAACATAGGGCTCCAGCTGTGCATCTCCGTTGCCTGCGGTTTTCTGCCAACTTTTTCACCCCGCTCCAAGTCTGCCCACATGCTTTCATCTCCTCTTCACATGACCTCCTCCAAGTCACCCTTGCACTGACGACCAACTCGCCGCCCGCTTCCCTTTCGGGTTTCACTCGAGCAATGGCTTGTCTAGTGATGTCACTTAATGGATTCCTCAGAGTATGGCCAATCCATCTCCATTTCTTCCTGCATATTTTTTTTCACAATCGGTTCCTGCTGTGTTGGTTCCCTCATTGCCAGAGATCCCTGTTGGTGATCTTTTCTGGCCGGTCATCTAATCTTGAGTATTGAGCGAAGACAACTGTTAATAAAGGTCTGAAGTTTGCTTGAGATGCTCTTTATGACGCTCAGTGCAAGTCTCTGATCCGTATAGTGGCACTGACTTCACATTGGAGTTGAAAATCCAGATCTTATTTTTGATTCTGAGTGCTGTTGACCTCCACACAGAGTTAAGAGTAATGAAAGCTTGTCTTGCTTTTCCGATTCTGGATTTGACATCCTCCTCAGTTCCGCCTGTAGTTGAAACGATGCTTCCCACTTAGGTGAAGGAGGTTGTTTCTTTCAGGTTCCTCTCATTTATGCTGGCTGGCTGTCGTCTGTTGTTGCTGTTGATGTTGGCCAAGAATCTTCATCACCTCTGTTTTATCTATGTTCACTTGAAGTCTTATCTTTGATGCTTCTTCTGCCAGCTTGTTGCTTTTCACTTGCATATCTTCTAGTTTGTGGAAATCAGACATATATCATCAGCGAAGTCCAGATCCTCCAAGTCTTTTGTGTCAGTCCATTTTATGCCTGTTCCCTCGTTGGTTGCCGTTGTCTGTCGCATTATCCAATCAATTGCAATCAGGAAGATCATTGGTGATAGTAGACAGCCTTGCCTCACTCCCGTCCTCACTTCGAAGGCTTCCGTAAGTTTCCCGTTGTGGATTTCTTGGCATGCAGCATTGTCGAATTACTGTTGGATGAGATATATAATTGTCAATGTGACCCTGTAGTAGCGAAGTAATTGCCAAATGACCTCTCGATCGACGCTGTCGAAGGCCTTTTCAAAGTCGATGAAGTTGAGTGAGGTGGAGAGGTGACTGCCATTCCAAGCTTTGTTCAGTGATGTTCTGTAGTGTGCCGACTCGATCAATACATGACTTGTTTCTCCTGAATCCAGCTTGTTCCGGTCGGAGTTTTTCATCCAGGGCATCCAGGTTTATGTACAAGGCGAGGGCAGTGATATGTGTACATGTACATGTAGACAATTCAGTAAATAATTTAGGTCATCTAATAAAAGTTGCAGGTGAAGTGGAGAGACAATCAAAGTTTACATATATATCATAGAAATACGGAGGGAATGAAAAATAAGAAAGGGTGGGAGGGTTCTAATTAGAATTTACGTAGGCCAAAAGAGAGACACAGGTGGAACAAACTTCTTTTGTATGCAAAGACTAGGATTGTTCTGTCAAATTCCCATAGCTTCGGCTATGTGTAAAAGACATATTCGAATTACGTTCGAAAGGCTTGATGGAATATGATAGATAATTTTGAAGGCACTACTTCAAGAGCCGATTTGTTCTGTATAGCTATATAAGATTCAGGAATAAGCACAGTCAGGATAAAAGTTATTAGTGTTTTACGGATAAATACTAGTGGTGTGGTCTACAATACCTTTGACTGTTTTCAGCCGACTGCAGTGTTAGTTATTTTGTAACTAAAATAACCATATGTTCCATTCAATGGATGGTTGTTTAAACAATAATACTGATGGAATCCTTTTGAACAACTTCATAATCAATCACGCCAAATAATCAGATAGCATAATTTCCAAAGATGAAGTTGCATGCTTTCAAGACGTTATGTGTTATTTACATAGTTTCAGTAGGATTAAATCGTGTTTTTGAAAGTAGTTTTTCGAGCAGACAATCATAACTACCAATTTCTTTCTGTGGTTATTTCACTAGTCTTTTCCCAAGGAATAAGTCCACTGGAGTGCGGTTTAGAACGCTTTGTTTTTATTGATAAACTCCGAAAATGCATTTGAAATCAGATTATGCTCGAAACATTTTCTAATAAACTTGAGGACTCAAAATGAACAGATTAATATGTGATAAGAATTTGGTTTAAATTCATATTCTCATTTCAAGGGATTTGATTGAAAGAAAGTCTCTATCAAAAACTGACTCCTGTTTCATTATCTTGACAACGGTAAACATTGAAAATTGATTTCTCACTAAATTCTGATTAAATATAGATATTGTTTACCATGTTTAAGGGTAATAGCAGACGTTTTATGCCTTCGTGTCTGGTACTGAATAATATGCTTCCATTTTCCTCGGAGAAAGTCAACAACGGGGCTAGTAAGACTATAGGCAGTGCAGTTACTTATCTGAGGTATTGTGGTGCACAAATAATAACTTCAGTCACCCTTCAATAAAAAGCAAAGTGCTTCATTGTCATCACCATTAGGCTTCCGTTCTCTATCTTAACATGGTTTTATCAATAAGGCATAATGTTTCTTTGAGCTCTCATTTCATTCACTGGTTGACATGGAATTCATTTTCCAAAGAGAGAAACTTTGAATCTTAAAATGACATTTGTAATGAAAGCACAGAGTAATAAATAGCTTCTGTGTACTAATCAGAAATGCAGCACCAACTTGGGTTTGATAAGACGCTTTTTATAGCAAATGATGTGTGCAAATATTAGTTAATTTATGAAAAAAGTACCTCTCCTGAATTATGAGATCTGAAATCACTGATGGGTAGAAGACAATGTTTCCGTGACTTTTGCGTACACTATAATATGAAACTTTTAACGGCAAAACTTCACTTCATGATTAAAGCAGCTTAAAAAAGTAATTCAGCTAAAATCCGCGAGAATAAATCTGAAGGTGCAAGGTTAAAATAACAAATTTAAGTGAAAATGAATTTTAGTGTTTGAACAGCACAGTAAAAACATTGTATTTCGTTGCATTTTTTCTGATCCACATGCGTTATTAAATTTTTTATTTTACTGCTTCACGTTCCCAGTGGAACATAGGGTTTCAAGCTAGAGGCTTGAAGTTTCAGTGGCAGGGCTGTTTATTTTTACGGGATGGGGTTGCTAGCCTCATGTACAACCTTCTCACTTTACCGTTCTTATTACCGGCTTACCGAGGTAAATGTGAGCGTTGGCTGGAGATGGAACCCCGGACCACATGCCTCATTGCCCAACATTCTACCGCTAAGCCACCGACGCATGCGTTATTGGCGGAAAATTAAAGAAAGGAAGAAGGAATAACATACTTCCAAAATTGCACTGTTCAACAGTCCATTGGTAAATATTACTCAGTTTGGATCATCAGGAGAACGGATTAGGGATTTCGCAGAAAAAAGAGGTGAAATAAAAAATCTCCAAAGATTCTCATCGAATGAATCTTTTTGAGTACGAAAATCAAGCTTCAAACTTTGAAGTAAAACTACCTTTTCGATGGGATAGCCTTGTATAGATACAGTTTTAATGAATTAATGAAGATGAAATGAAAATCCGGTAAGCTCATTGACTTGTGAATTGTTACCCTAAAACGCGTTGCCGTAATCTGCTATTCAGTTTTGTAGAAGCCGAGCAGCTTCCAGTCATAACAGGCTTCTGGGTGAAGCTGTTTTTATTTGTGTGCCCCTTTTGCCTCACCCCCCATTACTATATCTTATGACCATCTTTTGAATATCTATTAAAATCTGTTGGAATATTCCTCTTTCATCTGCAGATTATTGGAGGTATTTTTTTTACTTCAAACAAAATCCGCGACATGCGAATTTACCCTGACTTATTACATTTTTGGCTCAAGTAGCTTAAATCTTTTGTAACCTTAGAGTATCCAAAAGAACTGTTGATTTCCGGTTAACCTATTACTTATCTGCTAAATTCCTATAAAAAATGATGCACTGGAAGTCTTAGAACTTTCAGGGACAAATGATTTTGCAAAATTGTTTGCATGCAGCTTCCACCATTCAGCAGTGAGTGCCATTCTTCACTGTTTGAGTCTAATGGTTAGACTGAAGGTTCTCCGTCAATCATCCTTGCTATTTTGGCACACTGTCATGTTAAGTTTGCTAAGAACACATCGTTGCCGTACGTTTTTGCTCCTGAAACAAATTTCGTACTTTACACTATACAATTTTTCTCTGGTCTGTGTGGAACAAGAACACTGGGGGTTGGGAGATACATAGGCCCATTATCATATAATTATATCGTGTGATCTCGGCAACTTCCTTCATCTCCTAAAAACTCCTAAATTCTACTTGAAATTATTTATTTCTGTCATCGATTAACTGTGAAATATAAGATGCTTTTTTATTCTACTTAAAACATCTGTGCTGCCTAGTGAGTAATTGTGAGTCTCCATATCCTAAATGTCACCACACAACGACTAATTGAGTCATGTTAAAACAACGGTGCTTAATTACAATCTTAAACATTTATGAACTTCAACACGGATATCATAATTTTTTTATTCTGTTTGACTTTTACAGGGATGCTGGCGCAAAATAATCGTGGACGATTTAATCCCATTTGATGAAGAAGACAGACCTCTACTTCCACAAACAAAACAACCTCATGAATTATGGCCAATGCTTTTAACGAAGGCATTATTGAAAATTGCTTCTGTGGAGTAAATATCCTTTTTCCAGGAGAAAAAATAATTTTCATCTGTTTTTTTTCTTCAAATTATAGTTGTAGAAGTGCTTATAGCACTGGTGAAATGGGTGACTTTAGTACTATCCAGTGTTTAACTGGATGGATTAAGCATACAATTGTTGTAAAGTATGTTTCACTTAGTTTTAAATATCACAACTGTCAATAGAAAAGAATCAACAGAAAAACTGTGGGATTATTTGAGTAATTATTTAACAGACTGGGAAAGGCCTGATGATGTTATGAAAAGAGTTGAGAAACTAATGAAACTTGAGCAGACTGAAACGACTGAAAAAGTGGAGCATCGAGACGTTGTTAATAGTAAATCAGCGATAAGTAAAGAGAAGTCAAAGGATAAAAAAGGTATTAATAGTAATTAATGAATAACATTTCTTCGTTTTCACTATTTAAGGAGGAGATAAAAGCAAAGAAAGCGCCAAGGAGAAGAAAGATCAAACAAGTGGGTCTTTTAATTTCTCAGTTTATTTCTGAGGCATTTTACCTTTTCATTCTTTCCAATTTAGTAGACTTCATAGCCAAACTGACTCAGTACAATGAGTGTGTTAGAAAATAGCTTTTCTATCGATTCTCTTCTTATTTACACGACAACTTCCACTAATGAATCACACTGAAACACCAGCTCTTATCAATGAGTATGTCTTTGAAATTGCTGCCATCAAACATTATTACGCATTATATGAACTCCACTTTCTGGGTTTAGTTAATGATAAGCTCAATACTGAACAAAAGAGACGTCCGTTTGGTGTTTGACTGACTTGATCTGACCAATGAGCATTAGTTTAAGCAATCCTTGAACACTCAATTTAGTCGATAGTATACGTACAGTAGCTTAATACTCTCAGTCTTGAAATTGTTTATTGGTATTAGGGAAATATCTGTATATCTATATGTATATCTTTCAATCATTACAACTGTCTCTCTAAAAATTCTCTGTTAAGTGTGCTTTCCATGATTACTCAATTCAATCAGTTATAGCTTTTGAAAGCTCTAAATTTTATATTGTTTCTGGTTCCAAAATTATTGTCAACAGCATGCCATTTCAATTTCTTTCGCAAATCAACTGAGAATTTTATGATTTAACGGAGCGTAAGTTACCACTTAATCCTAGAAATTAGAAACAAACACTAATATGCTCGCCTACTGTGAGTGGCACCTTTTTTTAGTGGCAATAGCTTCATCCTGAACAATGTTTCTTTACCAATAATAGAAATTAAATGAATAAAATTCACTGATTACGTTAAATCAGATAATTTATCAAGAATTCTATGTTCATTTGTAAATGCACTTTATTAATTAACAGTAAACTACTTATCTACTTTCCACATCTCTGTAAGATATGGCTATTTATAGTGACTCTGTGCCCACCGATCTTGAGTAAAACAAATCTAAGCCTAGTACAGAGACTTATGAAAATAACCTGCTCTCTAAATGGATACTTTTCGTGCTCCATTTGAGATAGGCAGGATATATGTCACCCATAGTGATTTCTTCACCACACTCCGACTGGTAATATTAGAAGAAAGCTAAGGGTAATCAAACGTATGTATACCAACTACTGCTGAAGCTTTTTAGTTTTAGGGGTCAGTGGCCCAAGATTCAGCATAACTTAACGGAAACGCGATCACAAATCCTTTAGTGTATTCATCCCTTATTTTAAATAATAGAGATTTTGGAAAGTTTCATTATATTTTCTTTGTCCTCCTGAAACATCTTCTTTGTATAGCTTAATATGCTGTATTGGCTTGTTCGGTTATCTGTGATTTTGTCCAACTGAGTAGGTAACATCTGCTGAATCATAAATAGGCTTTCAATCTTTAGCATGTGATTTCTAAAGTTTAACAGATGCTAACTTGCTCTATTTTTGTTATTCTGTATCTTCAGCAGCTCACATTTCATCGGATGAAGTGAATCCTAAAATCCCGGAGACATTATTATTTGCATCGTTCAAAAATATTGTTTCATCATTGGCATGTCTAACAGCTTCTGAATCTAAGGTAAAAGTTTCGTTTACAAGCACTTTTTACTCCGATTCTGTCATATTTTCGGCATTTCAAGTAGAAGTGTTGAAGCAGTTTAATAAACAAGAAAACATGCCTTTGTGACGGAGACAGAGGTTTTCGGCAACTGTTTATATGTCTAATACTAAAATTAGGATGATAATATTATGGGAGTACATAGGATAGTCACTTATGAAATATTTGTTTCTATTTACAGGTGAAGCCAGTTAGGATTTTCGAAGAGGATAAGCAGAAGTCCACAGATCTATTGTTTTGCAGATTTGAGACAATTGCGTAACGTACTGCATCAGGCCTTCGAATAGAATCCAAATGGCAAAGGATGAGCCGTAAGCTAAAGTGGGACATGGAGTAGATCTTAGGAGGACGAGGAGGGGATGAAAGCGTATGAACAATTGCTGCAGAGAACAGAGTGAGAAAGAGAAGTACTGTTGAAGCCCTGTGTTCCGCTTCGAACCCAAGGGAATACTAAGAATAGTATATATTACTAATCGATTAATTGTAACAGTGGTCCTGTAAAGGACAGCGGAAATTCTACAATTATTTTAGTCTCCCCATGATTTTTATATGCAAAAACAAACTGCATGTTACGTTATAAGCAAAACATTCTATCAGTGTCATTCACATAGGCAGTAGATGAATATTTAAGTATAGTCCTTGTCCTCATTTTGTATCAGTAATTATCAAGAAAATTTTCGCAATTTTGTCACGAGATGTTTCGTCACAGCGTAATGCCATTCTGTGTACTGTCTAGTTACAATTAATCCTTGTTAGTCCATGCAGCTAACTTCACTTGAAAAAGCTCCCTGTCGAAATCCCATAGGTGTGGCTTGTAACAAAATAAGAAAGTAGATATCCTAAAAACAGATTTTTAAGTTTGAACAAAGCAAGAACTACAGTTTTAGCAGAATAAAATGGTACCATCTTTTATTTCGTTGCCTTCTCGTCAGCTGCTTACATGGCAAAGACATTATTAAATATATCTACAACAACAATTTTAATAATGTCTTTGCCATGTAGGCAGCTGACGAGAAAGCAACGAAATAAAAGATGGTACCATTTTATTCTGCTAAAACTGTAGTTCTTGCTTTGTTCAAATTCATTAAGGGGAATAAATGTATGAGATTTTTAAGTGTTAGAATTTTCGTGATTAATGTCTCTCTGTCTATTTATCGTTAATTTCGTCAGTGAGTTTTCTCAAGATCTCAGGTGTGACTGAATCATAAATATCGACGTGTATGAGGCGTTGTTCACATAGCATTTTCTATCGACTGATTATTAATATGCGATACTATACATATGCCACAGGGGTGTCTTATAAAGGGCTTGGTGAGACTGATTGGCGTTATTACTCAAATTCCCTTTTAGTGGATGACAACTTTAACCATTACTCCTTTTTTTACCATTGAAGAGTTTATGTGATATAGTTCACTAGAACACATAATCTACTACAAGAAGTTATTAGGGAATGCTGATTTACTTAATTTGATTATGGTACTTTAGTCACAATGAAACTAAATATTGGTTACGTACATTATGAAATACTGTAATATACTGTGAATTTAGTTTCACAGATTATTAGTGCTATCTTGAAATAAAGCTTACCAATTTCATGTTATATGAGGTTTCATTCTTATTAAAAGTGGAACTTGGGCACTGTGGTAGAGTGTAATTCCGTTACAGAGTAAATCTATTAGATACAATCATACACTATTATACAGTATCATTTACTGACGATGCATCGAGCACAATTAATCGCTCATAATCATATCAAGGTACTCACACAACTTTTCAACTTCGTTTATATGTATGGGCTACAAATTGACAAAAAATAATTGGTATTATATATATATATATATATATATATATCAGTCGTCTGATTAGGTTTTTGTCCAAGAGGATGTAATAACACCATCCAGCATAGCTACACAGAGATTGAAGTGGGACTATAAGAAGCACAATAATTAAATATCTGGTCGATACTAATCACCTTAGTTCTACAGCATCTTCCTCTAAAGTTATCTACAAAGAGAAAAATAACTTGTCCATATCATTATGAATCCGGTGTGTCTGTACCTTTATTATTATTATTCATCATAATTTATGCCCTTCATGCAAACCTTCCCCCAATACTATCGAATTACTAGTGATATTATCACTTTTCTCAATATATGCCTCCAACTGTTTCATTTCACATATTCGTTATTTCATTATGACCTCTCATTGCAGTCTTACTACCTCCTGTTTAACACAGACCACTGTGTACTAGCCACTCACCTGACACCTTTTATAACCTTGAACTGATTTGTCAATTTTCCTATCCCACTCTACAAATCTATTATGACTAAGTGCCACCATTGTCTCCCGTTTTACAATATTTTGTAATCTGTTTCACCCTAGCACGTTTGTCACACAAATATGACTATTTATTTTGACACTCCATAACTAATCTGTTATTCTCTGTTAAAAATATATCCGCCGCATAACTGGCCATTATTGTAGCGACAACAAATATTATATTTTATAATTGTAAGAATCTGAAGAGAAATTATTGAAAAGAATGTTTTAGATATGTATAGATTTTCATGTACATTAATATAGATTATTGTAAGCAAACAAACATAGTCTTCTGATTGGTGGTTGCTAGCTGAACGTTTATCTTTCATCTCTTTGTGGCTCTTTCTTGAAGTTCAGATTATCTATCTGCAAATTGTATCCGCCCACGCAAAGTCTGCTGTGATTTGGTGTCGAGTCAGTCTTTGTTCTTATTTCTCTTATGACCAATATCTGGGACGTAAATGTTGACGTAAATTACTGTCTGCAAATTTTTGGGTAGCAGCCAGCTCTCACCACAATGGTACACCTACCCTAGCATCACAACAAATTTTACCAAGGAACGTTTATTGTGATGACGAATTGCTTTTGAACGTATAAATGTGATTTAAACTTCTTAATTCCTAGGGCTTCCACAAACCTTAGGATACTTCCCAAACACGTTCTACAGATAGGTTTAAAAGACGCGTAAACATCAATTTTATGTCTTGTCTCTATAACATGTTTCGCAATAAAGGAGCTAGGTCTCCTGTTCTCACCATTAATGGGTTCTGGGGATTCTGTTTGCTTCTGAAGCCATTTAGAAATACACTCTGAAGCCCTTACTCGCAGAGATTGATGAGAGCTCCGTATGCATATGTGACCACAGGTACGTTTAAATTAGTTAATATAGTGGGAAGTAACATTATTTTTCGCATGCTTCAAGAGCTTAGATGGATATACGGGCTTCATATTCTCAAGTATTCTGATCTTAGCTACATGAAAAGTTTTTTAACCTCAGCGTTCAATCTCTGTCGACTTACCAAGCTGCTTTGATTACTCATTTAGGTATAGCTTGATATATACATCTTTCTTAGTGGTAACTTGGAGAGTGGATCTTGGTGTTCTGACCAATTTATATCTGCTTATGAACCAATCAGGAACCGATTGTGAAAAAATAGGCAGGAAGAAATGGAGATGGATTGGCCATACTCTGAGGAATCCATTAAGTGACATAACTAGACAAGCCATTGCTCGAGTGAAACCCGAAAGGGAAGCGGGCGGCGAGTTGGTCGTCAGTGCAAGGGTGACTTGGAGGAGGTCATGTGAAGAGGAGATGAAAGCATGTGGGCAGACTTGGAGCGGGGTGAAAATGTTGACAGAAAACAGAAGGCAATGCAGACGCGCAGCTGGAGCCCTATGTTCCTCTAGGAACTAAAGGATACAACAACAACAACAATATGAACTTGTCTGGATAATTAATATGAATATCAGTTTTCATTCTTCATCATCACGTCTGTCTTCGGTGTATATTCGTTGAATTCTACTGAGGAGGCAACTTACGAAGGCTCTTTTGTACCAAACAGGGCAGAAACTGTGATAATTAAGATACTGTCCCGTCCAGGTAGGTTTTCTATAAATACATGATTGTATTCATCCACCAGACAGTCAACTAAGCAATACGTCTGGGAAAGATAAAATATTGACAACAGCATTCGGTAAGCGACATTAAGAAAGTGACTCCTATCTCTTTTTTATTGAAGCTTGATAGACTGACCTCAGATCATTTAATTCTGTTTAGATTTTCCCGTCAGTTCATTGGACTGAAGTGCTCGGTCTCAGCTTGTTATGTTGGCTCCTTGTGAAGATGCTTTGATTGCGTCTGGTTATCTAACACGAAGTCATCTGGTTGATGGTGACTAAGAATAGAATCTAGGCTCAGCATTTCATCCTATTTAGGACTCGTCACCTGGAGGTAACTGCATTCCCCAGTGAGTGATAGTATTCCCAACGAGGCTCAAACCCAGCGCCCACGGTTTCACACTCCCACTTACATGTCCAGACATCGTCGAAGCATCTGGACAAGAAGCCGACATGTCAACCTGAGACCGAGCACTTCGGTCCAATCAATCGAAGGGAAAATGTGAAATTGAATTAAATAATTATTAAGACCCGTTGCACAAGAGGTGACATCCGTAGCCCAAGGAGCTCTGGTTTTTGAAACTGGAGTTTGAAACTATGGGCACTTCGAGCCTCGATGAGAACATCATCACTCACTGGGGAATGCAGGTACATGCAGTGACGAGTCCCAAATAGGACGGAGTGCGCATCCTAGATTCCACTGCTAGTCAATATCAACCAACTGACCTCAAATCAGTTGCTTGTAATTTATTCTTGAGGGGTTTACGTTAATCTGAAGTCTGTCAAAGACGTCACAGAGAATGTGAAGGGAATAGATTACAGGATTTCATCATAAGTTGACATCGGTTACATAAATATTATGGAACCTGGGAGATCTGAAGAGTTGTCTCGTTCTAGTTTGAGTCTCTTCAGCAGTAACCAGAAGCTCCTGAGTTCCAGCATTGGTGGTGGGTTCGTACTAACGAAGAGTCTCGAACTAGGACGAAACAGTTGTCCAGTACTCCCAGGTTTTCCAATGGTTCTCTGTCTGATGTCAGCTCATGATGAAATCCTCCAACCAATCAAACAAAATCCCTACAATAGCAATACTTGAATGTGAACTGGAGTCAGTTTGACAAAATATCTGCACAAAAGTGTGTTTTAAATAGATTTATTCCGGAGATCATAGTTCTTATTTCTGGGTGAATTCATGTAAATTGATTTCGTGAACAATTTCACCTCTACTTTGTATCCGGCTGAAAAGCCAATCAATCCCAGACCACATGCATAACAACCTAGTTACTTTATGCGCATTTATTCTTGATTTAGAATCAAGATGGCTACTGTTTAATCATTAAAACTTCCGTTATCTGAGAATGCAGATGAAAAATTATTTACGGTATTTTCGCCTAGTGTAATTATATGCTGATTAGCTCTTTAATAAGCATTCCTTCTGGATCTTACCAATCCTAAAACGACACATCTTATAGCTGTTTCATTATGTATAACATACATATCTTGTGAATTTTTTAAAACAAACACTTGATTTTCTTCTATTTTAGACTGCATTCAAAATTAAAGAATTTGGATTTACTTGTTCAGATGCTTATCCAATTTGCGTGGCAAAACGTCGCGTCATACCGATTATTCCACCGTCTCCTGAAAAGCCTACACCCACATGGAAGTTGATAAGACCGAGGCCACCGGATTTTCCTTTTAATTCATGCGATAACCAAAGTGTAACAGACAAGGAAAAAGAACCCATACGTTCCCTACTTCTCTGGACACCCGTACAAGAGCATATATTCTACGAACCAGAGAAAATAGTGTACGTTCATGTTTAATTTTGCTGATGGGTGGGAAAAGTATACTTAAATAGAATATTACTGAATGAAAAGCACTTTGTAATTTACTTCTTAATTTCTAAATGGTAGTGAAGATGAAAATGACTCCATATTGGATAAGTTTATTTGACGACGAAAGCTCCGCAATTAAACCAACCAGCTCAGCGAACACAACTAATTGCAAAACAGTTGCAAAACCAATATTGATAACTGGATGAAATTTTGGGCACATTTTTTTTCCTCATAATCGTATCAAGATGAAGACAAGAGTGTTACTGGAAGTGCTAAACCAGACACTATCAGCTGTGAAAACACTTCCAGCTTATTATCTCACTACTCAGTATTACTGAGTCTTGGCTAATTTTTGCTAAGACTTAAATGCAATGTCACTGTCATCAATACGGAATGTAGTCAAGTAGATATTTAAGTCAAGCAGAGCATTTCAAAAACATATTTTTGGATGTCAAATAATTATTTCCTTATAGTCTTATTTCCCCTTGAACTTGAATTTTAATGTGAAAAACTTTCACATCCAATTTATGCGTGATTCTGAGTAATGTTTTGTCGAGAGACTCATTTTTCATTACAAACGGAATGAAGTATAAGAAAATGATCTCTGTCCTACTTGAAACGCCATGCTACACAGAAGAATATTCCTGCGGGGAAGTCAAAAAAAGGTCAAGTAAAAGAACGTGAGAAAGAGGTAGGACTGAAACAATACTACGAACTGACGACTGAACGCATCTGTGCACATTATGTGTTCACTTTCTCATATGGTCAAAAACCTAATAACTATAGTCACTCTGAACGCGTATTAATTTTTAGCGTTGATATTTCGACATATCTTGGAATATAGTGTAACAATATAGTTTGTCGGTGAGTGCTAATAAAGCCAACCCTAAGCATAAAAATGACGTGCTTGAAGTACAAACAATTCATCAACTGTCGGCTAACTGTACTCATAAATAGTGTGCTAATAAACCGTTGGTGTTTTCACTTGTTGTCATGTGAATAACATGCATATTTTTGTGTCAAGTCTCCGTTGACAGCTGACCAACCAACTTAAATGTAACTGTCAAAAAAACTTTTCGATGTGGCTAGCTATTTAACTTTTTCACTCCGACGTAAAATTAAGACATTTCCAGAAAACAAAATAAGGATAAACTTCTTAAAAAAATTAAATGCATCATTTCCAATAAATAAAATTTTATCATAAGACGGAAAATAGTTGCACACTGAATTTGTATTGGTTCAGTTAGAAACATTAGCAAACATAACTAGTATGTAGTACAAAAACCACAGTTTTCTAACGGCGTCAGGCAGCACTTCCCACACTCACACTGCTTGTCGGCAACAATTAATCTCGATGTTAATTAGCTATAATGATTACATAAAATCTACAATTAATTTCTCGTAGTGGGAAAGATAAGGGGTGAGGGAAGATGTAAATTCCTAGTGACTGTTTCGAAGGAAGAGACGTATAATTAACATATTTGTTTTTACAAAAAAATTTCACATTGATTTCAGTCCACTGCTTTTCAAAATCGTCTATGTTGACAACAAAGTTACATCAGGCTATTACTCTGGCCTCAAGTCTAAAAGTAGTTATGCTTCTTCATAAACTACAAGGTACAGATAGTGTTCATGTCTGTGTGTTTTGAGCATTTGGCTATAATTCGTTTGAATTTTTCTGCAGGAACTTCACATTAACTGTAAATGATATTATACTTTTACTGTAATCAGCTAACTTTCCTTCAGTTAAAGTATATGAAGCAATCAGGAAAAGATATGATCCTCCATCTCGCAGTAGTTGCCCAGTTATTCTAAAATAAATTTTCCTGTCCTAATGACCGAGAAATATTACACGGTCAGAACAACTGTGCCTTCATGTTATTCCAAGACGAAAGGTTACATAATTACATTGAATAACGCCTCATGAAACATTTCAAACAGCATTCTAACCTAGAGGGATACAGTCTGTCATTTTGTGCATCCCAGACTACAAACATTATTTCCATCATTTCCAGTTTCACTTCAATTTTTTAAACTGTTTTCAATACAAAGAAAGAACCTTGTACTTCTTCTAGGATATTCATGTGTTATAGAATTCACTAATGATGGCACTTAAAAGGGACTTTTAATTTTTGGTTGACTGATCCACTAGTAGTCTTGTATTGTGATACCGGTTGTCGAGTTGAAAGACATTTTACATAGACGCATATTTTTCTATTTTCCAGAGCAAATCCTTCAGTTTCTACTGCTGAGTCATCTTATACATCTGGTTCATCACCTGATACTGGACGACAAACTGCTGGTGCAGTTAAAGGTAGGTCAGGCTCTCAAGGTCCACTTGGACGTCGTAGAAAGGAATCAGCAACAACTATTCAAAGTTCAACAAAATACCCAGTAAGCTGTTACACTGTACACTTATTCATACCATTTTTGTTGGCACTACTGCAGCTATGTTATGACTATGCCTGTTACCTCTAAATCTAATGTAAAATATGGGAAGTGTCTTTAATAAATTTATTTAAGGTGATCACAAGTTGTCTATTTCATTAGTATTATGTAACTAATTTATCCTTATTGGTGCATTCAGGTAGTTTACTTCGTTAATTCATTGTCGCAATAGAAGGAAGCTTTGTTGAAACAACAACTTCAGGAAGTTTCCGATATAGTAGCTAGAAAGTTCCATCCAGTGAGCAATATTATACAGAATATGCAGGTGGATGCAGCAGATAATTTTCGACTGAATCTAGTTGAACATACAGCACCTAAGTAAATGGATCACAATAACCTAAAGTAGGCTAAATTCAAGAGTGATCAAACTAATTGTTAGACTTCGCTAAACGTATAAAAGTACACTAAGTCCTACATAAACATCTTGGCAATGTAGACAAAGAACATTACACACTTACCTGAAATAATTCCTAAAATGAATCACTGAGGTATCTGAGTTTCTGACCAACAAAGTGCATCATATTTTCTCGAATTCTCATTACTTTAACCATTAAATTATACTGTTGAGTCGCAAAATTTACTGATTCATATTTTTAATCTGCTTTCAAACTACTGGTGTATATTTTTCGGAGATGAAGCAAAAATGCCGTATGGGATTTGCCTATGCTTCAATCGAACAGCATTGTGTTACATGATATACTGCAGATTGCTGCTTCCCTTGAAGTTGCAGGGGAAATACTATGCAGTAAATTGCTCTGAGAGTCCTGAACCCTGTGTAAAGACTTTGTCCAGAATAAAACTGTTATTATTATTATTGCTATTATTAGTCATACTTCCACTAAATCCACCGGTATTCTGCGACATGTTCGGAAAATGCTATATATTTTTCGTAGTAGAACTATTGTAATTTTATCTGTGAACAATTAGCATTTCTGTTCAAATGAAGTTACTTAAATAATCGCAAGAGAATTTTTCGTCACTGTTATGTAGAGAATTGTAAACATAGTTATTGTGTGCAGTTTTCTTTTTAATAATTTTCTTTTTAGAAAAGGGCATCACGTGAAGACATTCACAAGAAAGGTGGGCTGTCTAGTAATCATTTTTTGTATTTATCAAGCAAATTTTTGAATATATTTAGTTTGCTCATTTTAAGCATGGTTGCATACCTGGAACTGGCTGGCAGATTGTCTTTTCTTGTCTGAGCTTTATACTCGTCAACAGTGACGAATAAGGAGTATACAAAGAAACCAGGAGAATTAGTCATATTTTTTCAGTAACTTGAATGTTCCCTTAATTTATACAGAACAAAAATAGTTAGAGTGAGCAAGTGTTTTCAATAAATTTTTCGTCAGGCTCAACAATTATAAATCCATTAATTTAAACAAACACTAGCCAGTAAAGGCAAATTAGAATCATATCAGGAAGTGTATTATGGAACAAGTATAAGATGGGATCAAACAATAGTCAGTTAGTTTTGAAGATAAATGGTCGATGAGAACAAGAGATAGAATGAGATGAAATAATTTAATGATACATATATATATATATACTCTCGCCGACCATGCACATGGTCTGGGGTTCGACCCCCTGCCGACACACACTTGATATCTATGGTCGGCCCGCAAAATTTGGGCTACCGATATCACATGCTGAAAATTTCATACTTGTATCAAAAATACGATGTGGAATCAAGCTATAATAAAAAAAGCATGTGGGGAGACATGGAGCTAGGTGAAAACTTTGGTAGCCGACCGAACGCAATGGAGACATGCGGCTAAAGCCCTTTGTTCCCCTAGGAACTAAAGGAAACAATAAAAATAATATAATAATAGGTATTACAGTTCGACCATAGACTATCTGGAAATAATTGTATTTCACCAAAACGTTTGCGTTTCATTGGCATATTTAGTTACTGGAAGTCAAATATTCATCAGAAGGGCGAGTATTACAACAATTTACAGTCAGTCATCCCAGAAATATTATGCTTAGTTTCTCTAAAGGACATGATAACGACATTCAGATTGTATGACACGTTGGTTTTCATTTATATACAGAAAACCTAGATTCGATCATTGCAAGCTGTGCGTTGTCAAAGGGAGTTTTCAGTTAAACAATGGTTTATATCGCTAATATGAGCGGCTTTTAGAAAACCCTTTATATTTCCGTATTCGGAAATAGTTTGTTCAGTCTCTCTCCCTCCCTTGGCCTTCGCCCCCAACCTGGAATCGTTATCTCTCCCGGTGACACCCGATAACTGTAAATATTATCTGATCACATTTTATTTTATTTATACTGCTAACTGTATTTTCAATAACGCTTACCTCTGGTTTTTGTCTGTTTTACTTGAAATGTATCAGGTTCAGGTGGCAAGTCAAAAGAAGTTAAAGGGGGCAATCTAACGGAAACAGTTGGCTCACGTTCAAGCAATTCTTTGCAGTTAAGTCGTATAAAGTCAAATGCTGAAGAGACTGCCTCAGAAATTTTACCAGTTAAATCTGTCTCAGTGACCAGTCCTAAGGAAATCTGGCTTGATATAAGTGATTTTTGTGAAATATTTAGGTGAGTTTTTATCAGTGTAAATCTACGTATCCTGAAAATACTTGTTCGTTGAATCGAATAATATGATCGAAATATTAATGTCACTAAATTTGTTTAACAGACCACAAACTACTTAGTTAACTATGGATTTCTGAATTCCCATATATCTGATGGACAGTTTTGAGAGCTACGTCATAGAAAATCAGAATGCTTGTACTACATAGTCATCTTTATGCAAATACGGATAAATTATTGGGAAAAATTAGAACAAGTAGAGCTCATTTACAAATCTTGTTAATGGCTAATATAAGAAACTTCATAATCTGTAACTACGGTATACATTTGTGAAGACCATTTATGAATTAATACTTGATATTAACAAGTTAGTATGGTCTACTTACTATGTTTTTTATTTTTACTGAAGGAGTCCTGAATATTCTACATTTACTGACAGTTTTGACTGATAGGTTGCTTTATTTATAGCTATCCAAGCTATCGCAGATACTGCTTGACGCTGTTAATAAATTCCGATAAAATTAGTCTAAAATGAATTTATACCAGCAGCAAAATCGTGTAGGAGTAAATCTGTTCATCTTCAGTACAGCTTAAATATAATAACTTCGACCATGTTAAACTTTAATCACCAATATGTGCCATCGCTGTGCACTGCAACAATGAACTTGAAACGCTCAGCAAACAAGTTAGTGAAAACTAGCAAATAGTGTTGTAATCATGCATCAAACATGCTTAATGAAGTGTTATTATATGAAATGGGTTGGGTTTGGGAAGTATTCATTTAAGGTTTAGGCTAAGAATATGTGTGTGGGTTAGGTTAACTTGATGAGGGAGATATTAGTATTAGTGTTGGTTCTAGTTAGATTAGGGTTAGTTTGAAGATATTTTCCAAGTTAGGGGTATATTAGACAAAGAGTGGGGTTATTATTAGAATTAGAAGACCTAGATAAATACATGTATTGAATGTGATTAAATTACTGTGTTGACAGTCGAATGGAAAAGTGAGTCATTTTTGTTAGATTTCAGAGAAGGGTATCCTGTGTGACATTTTCATTTCTTTTATGGAATATTTGTCATAAATATGCCTACTGTGTAGTGGAAAATGTCCTTTCCTATATGGTTGATGCGTTCTAGGTAATCTGTCCGTTGGTACTTACTGGTGCTTGAAGTTTAACATCACCAAATCTTCTTTACTACGTGTCAACCACATAAATGTATTTAAAACATAAGCACTGTGGTTTTATGTAATTCTATTTTAGTTTAGTTACCAGATATTTCAAACGGTGCCGCAATGTTCCTCCACTGAATTAGGTTTCGAAAGAAATTTCTAGTTTTCAGTCATAATAAATGCGAATCTACAACTTCAAAACTTGGTTTTTATACATCTATTTATTCCTCTGCTTCTATTACAAATGGAAAAGAAAAACTAGAACCAGAAAAACATCGATATTATTTTGAGCAATGTATTGTTCTGAATATCTTATGCAGTTATGTAATATCAATGAAATATTCTATATGTGAAATCAGAACTGGTTTTGCTTTGCAACCTCTCTCCAAGAGCATTAGCGTAGTTGCTTAATTGTCGCTATTTGGAATCCTCTTTCAACGTGGTTTCCATCTTGCTTCAGTTACCATACTCTTTTTAGGAAATTAACTCTAGTACTGAACTTAGTTGGGACCAGGCTATTTGTGCTTCTGACCGTTGAAGCCTGAAAAGATCCTTAATCGGGCTCGTTTGGACATGAACAAATTTGAATAGCTAGGTTGCTAGACATTTGTATGATTAGAAGGCTGCTTTAACTGCTACATTTCTAGTCAGTCATTGTCCTCATTTGTAAATTTTCTGTACATTAAATATATAGGACAGTGGACATTTATCACAAACCGAATACATACTCAATAGTCAGAACTCACTCAAATTTAAAAGTAAGTCTCATTTCAAACATTTGTTGTTACTGTTATAGGAACTGTTGTGGATGAGATTGTTTTGTGTATTTAAAAGATATGCTACTTCTGTTCTTTGAATATTCATATTTTTCTCCATGTTAGACAACTCTAACTCTAAGTAGCCGAGTTTTCAGTTCTCTAAGTTTTCGTTGTAATATCTTCACTCTGGACATGAAAATGTATATTCCTTGATGATAAGACATTATGGATTTCTTCTGTTGAATGCCAAATAGATATGGAAAAGTCAAGTCTAACCAAGATATTTCATGGTGTTATGCTCATTGTAAGATTTGAAAGTTGTAAATATATGAATCACATACGAAATGGTTATTTTTCATTCCTAGAAAGAATACTTTTCTGCGGTTTTCTATAATTTCTGTTATTCCTTCAAGCAACTCCAAAACACACTCATAGTTGTTCATAAATAACATCAAGTTCATAGTCCACTTAAATTGAGGTTCATTTAAAGCACTATTCAGCAAATCAGTCTTCACACAGACTGAACTAGGCTAGAACAATTCTTGTTCCAGTTGATAGTTTAATCTATGTGATTCTACGCTGAATCACTATGTTAGTACTCAGAAAATTTCCCTCAGTTACTGTTTCGTCTTTCATCCGAGACTTCTGTCACTATTCATATTCACTTGTATGAGTAAAGTTTCTCAGTTGTACTTTTCTTTTTGTTTTATAGTAGTGTAAACAAGGATGAAAAAAGTACTCGCGTTGATGAGAATAAAAACTATTTTGATTTTAAAGCATTCATGATACAAAGATAAATAATAAGAATAGCTATGATACAAATTATTTGTAAGTTTTAATATATGTGTAAAACTTGGGCACTGTGGTAGTAAGTAATTCCATATTAATTTGTTTATTAGATGTATCACACAGTGAAACAGTATCATTCACTGGATGACGTTTTGAACAAAATTTTTATTCATAATCATATCAATTATTGATATACTAGTGGCATTCAAACCAACCACAAACTCAATTAGAAACAAGCTTTGTCGGTTAAAGGTCATATGGAGACTTTAAAACAAAACAACTTAATTTATCTAATACCCTGAAATGACTGTCAAGTTCAATTAGTAGAACAGGGGCAGTCAGACTAGCCGAGCATAAAAACCTGGCAAAATCTCGATTAGTTGACCCGAATAAGATAAGAAATCTAGAGAATAGTTCAGCTACAGCACTACATGCAATTACACGAAACCATACAATAGGATGGAATAAGATGACGATTTTAGAATCTAATGTCACAGGGTGGATGGAAAGATTGATAACAGAAGCTTTGTTTATCGAATCAACTGCAAATACAAGTAATAGGAATGATTCATCACCTGTCCCTGATATCTGGAAAATTCTACTACCCCTACGACAAATAGGAGAGAGCAAAGAAAACTATAAAACTCAAGTTTCAATGTCGTGTAATTATAATTGATATGATTATGAACGGTAAATTTTGTTCATCCAGTGAATAATACTGTTTCACTGTGTGATACATATAATAAGCAAACTAATATGCACTTACTACCACACTGCCCAAGCTTTACATATATATTAATAATGGTATCCGCCCACGTTAAGTCTGCTGTTATTGGCTGTCGAGATAACCTTTGTTCTGGTTTTTTTCTCATGACCAAGCTTTGGGACGTAAACATTGACGTAAATCGCTGCCTACCAATTTTGGCTAGCACACATCTCTCACCACATTAGTAGAACCAGTGCTGTTAATAAAGAGTTAATGAAGTTTAAACTGTTATCCTCTTAACATAAAGGTCAAGCTGTCTGATTTATTGCTACGTAGCAAAATATAACCAATAAAATAAAACTGATTTGTTTTGCAGCCTTCTGATACATCGCCATCAGTTCATTATCTGCTTTGCGATAGTATTCATCCATGTGAAATTATCCTGCAATTATCGGTTGTTTATCAGTGGCCATTACCTGTTGTCAAAACATTTAGTCCATCCTATTCGCGGGGATTTTCTTATATACCTGAAACAGAGGCAACTATAACCGTCCCAACTAATGAACATCATAGTACTCATAATTTACCAGTCATCACCACAACATCAGGTTAGTCGTTATTTAGAAGGTTTAATCATGTCTTTTTCAAGAGCCTAATATTTATTTTATTAATGTATGGGCATTAAAAAAGTAGGACATTTTAGAATTAATGGTATGATATCCACCCTTCCAGCATAAACTCAGCTATAAATGAAAACAATATAAGCAGGCATTGAGAATTCAGTCATCGAAGTCTCTTGATTTTTCCGTGTGTAACGAAACTAACCATGGTCAATGATCTTCACACTGGACACAAGGTGTTCTCCGTGAAATGTAGACTATGGGATGCAGCTGAGTACCGTAATCAGTTAAAGTGACATATGTCTGTTTCCTCAGTAGAGAAGACAGCTTACGGTAATGTGAAGTTTTCCCTGAATTAAGAGAAAGTTTCAAAATTTTTTGAGCAACTTATGTATGAGAATATAGTATTTCTGACTGGAAGCTGACAGATTATAAAAATAGAACTTTTACAGAATTTTGGTGACAAGTGGATGTGCCTTTCTTTTAAATCAAAGTGAAGCAGCATACAGTTTACAGTTAATTGTGTCATCATCAATGTGATAATGTTCGTTTTCATCGTAAATGATGAATCCATAAAGCAAAGCAATAGCAAAAGGAGGAAGAGCCAAGCGGAAATTTTTGGAAATCTCCATGTGGAAATGATATTCATTTGATCATATAGTCAAGCTTCTATATTTTTAGGTGATTACTCAGCTGACTGTCGTGATACAGAAGTGCACTATTTTTTCAATTAGGGACTGTTGGCTAATTGTCAAGATCTCCTTGATTTACGTTTCATGTGTATACCAGTATTAGATATTCTACGGATCGTGAAAAACTCTCTTATTTATGGGTTTAAAGCGGCTTCATTCTGTGTTGGAATTCTCGATTACAATTCCCTGTGCGCCTGAATAGGGTATGCGTGCTACTTGCTGGTTAGTAACTATAGTATTTGTCAGTAAGATTCTGGCGAAGGAAGTATGATACTGTATGATATCCTTTTAACTTAATCTAAGTCTGTTTCTCACCTCTTAACTCTTTGTTGTATATATGCTCAAATTTTGTAAATTCCAGTTTAATAATACTTTGATAAAGCTATTAGCATTAAATAGCGAAACGTCAGTAAAAATAACATCGTTTTGTTTGTATAAACCTTTATTATAATTTATAGTATGACAACTAAATTATGATTTGACAAATCCGTACAGTATTTGTTATTGTGTTTATAAAGTTAGAAGGTAGTGTCACATTTAGCATTTGAACTTGCACCTAAAACATTGGTAGGCGTTTCCATATAACACGCGTCTACGTAAAATCCCGAAGTACTGTTCTCAAAGTTTAGAGTAGTGATTAATCAATATTTTTTGGTCTGTAAAGTATTCAGATAGTTCTCAGAAGTCACAGTACCATTTCATTTTCTGGAGGCTACCTAAATTTTCATTCAGGATAACGAATAAAACGTTTATCCATTTCTAGCCGTTTTGATCATCTAATTATGTCCATGGATTGCCACATAAACGTGGGTACATTTTTAGTTTACTGTCGACTTGATGAAGAAAACTGTGAAAGAAAATGAAGGAAAAATACCCTAGACGGGTGGATGTTGCTTCAGATGGGACAACACAGCGTCACACAATATACTGTCGAACATTACTTCGTTTGAAGATCCTGAATGAAGTGTAGATATTTTGCGATTTAAATAAGCCGAAAATTCTGTACCATGAATAAAAATATTCTCCAAAATAAAGTTGTTCTTATTATTACCTATATTATCATTGAACGAACTGGTTGACAATAGTTAGTCATTGATAGAACCCTAGCATTTTTATTTAAAAATACTAATTTTATTACTAAAACAAAACTAGTAATTTAAAAATAATAACTAAAAATTATTAAAATTAAGGGATTCCGTTTAGTTGACTAAAAAATGGCATTCCACTAATTCTTGTTCCTTTTATTTCTTTCAATTTGGTATTCGTAAGTAGGATGCAAGTTGCCGCTGCTGTACAACAAACACTGCACACTTCACTGTTAGAAGTGTACAACGGTTGGTTTGGCTTTCTTTTCACTTGATATGAGTCTGCATTTATGCATTGTATATGAGTCTTTTTTCATTCAAGAAATAACAATGCGTATCAGCTGACAGAATGATTTACTGAGTAGTTCACAGTTACCAATGAGATAATACAAGTACTAATCACTCAAAGTGACACAAAGAATTTGACCCAAACGTGCACTAATTATATGTTGGTTGAAAATCATGATATTGAATATGCCCCATATAATGCAAAAACTAAAGTAGAATACCCCATAACTACTTAATGGTTCAAGTTTCCATAGTATGGTAATAGTACTCTGTAAATAATGCTAGAATAATAAGTCATGAAGCAAGCGGTGGTAGCACCCTGTATCTTATATTATCAGAGTACATGAACGTTTACTGCAGTGTCTTTCGAATGTAAACGTCAGGCTTTTGTTTGACTTTAGAAAGCCATTGTAAGAGCGAGTAAACAATTTTTGTCGACACGCCATTTTGCACCTTTAAATATGACTGAAAATTATGAATTGATAAGTCACTGTGTATATGCTAGACTTTTAAAGATTTTCTGAATTACGTAGACTTGTCGTGTACTGGAAGACTAAAATGCTTAACCAGTGAGTCATCATTTGGAATTATGAATTATTTCTTAGAAGTGACCAGTTATCACATAAAAAATTTTTTTTTCAACCTTTTAGCTTCATATACCGGGACTTTATTTCACACTCACGAAACAACTCACCTGATGACTCACATTCCACAACCAATGAAGCTAAGCAGCCTGTTATGCCAACTGATCCTCCATCAACTCTCTTAGTTGAGTATTATCACTGGAATGAATCTAGACAAGGTGATCCAATTAAGCGTCTTGAAACAACTGGGAGTCGTGCAATGTCGCTGCTACTGCCATCGAATAGACACTGTTACAAACTGAGTATATCAGCTCCACTGGGTTATGTATTTACTGTTCTTGCACGCTTACGTTCGTCATCGGCAGAAAACTCTGACTCACCTGCTAAAGGTAAAGCTAAAAATGAAATTGAAATTTATTCAGATGATAACTTAAGTTGAACAAAAACATATTTTCATCACCATCTCCACTGAAGGCTGTTTTGACAAAAGGTCTAAGGTGATAATGACTAAATATTTATTTTTATTTATTTTATTCCTTTGTATTCGGAGTAGGGCATAGTGATTCAAGCTTTGAAGTTTTAGTACCAATAGTGTCATCCTTTTTTACGGGGTGGAGTTATTAGCCTCACACCCAACCTACTCTCTTTACCAAGCTTATTACAGGCTAAGTGAGGTTTAGGAGTGCCCTAGCAGACTGTGGATGCTATTTTTGAGTTCGAACTGATGTTTAATCAATATTCTGGTCAAGTAGCTCAGTTAGTATTGCACCTGATCAGTAGCCCTGACGCAACCGACTAAGACTATTCTATGACAGATGTTTTTGTGGGAATCAGTCGTCATACTCATACCAGCTAGTGGAGACTGCTTAATAAGAAACTAAATTTTCTTTCCTTTGTAGGTCTCCAATCAATCAATATACTTTTTGGTGACAGTAATCATATTCTTACAAACGGTATATCAACTTGTCCATTGATGATAAGGTATTATGCAAACCAGGTTATTAGTTCCATGGTTTCTATAGGAACTCATTTGGAAGCATTAGTAAGTTTGAATGAATCACGAAATCACCAGATTATTGAATCTATTAATAATAATCAAATGAAACCAGATAAAGCATCAACATCTGGAAGCTTGATAAGTAGTTTGGAATTAGATGAACTGGAATACAAGACATTGGAGAACTTAGAAAACAAACAAAGAGAACTAAAGGAACTATTAGCTATATGGCCTAATCTTAAGGTAAGATGAATAAAAAATATAAAATGATATAGTTTTGTATATTTTGTATGTAAGTCACGAATAAATTTGAGTTTTCTTGACTAGTTGGATTTTTTTTAAGTGTTGGTTCAGAACCTGTGAGATTGCGGTTCTTTCCAAATATATTCATAAATTTTAATTTCTTAGGCTATTTGTTAGCTGCAGATCTTTTTATTTGTCAAGTTAATATCGCAAATTATACTTATGTATAAATTAGATGGTTGGAGGCAATCGGCATGAGGCCTTGAAGCTAGATTTCGAGCTAATTGACGCTTGTCAGCAAGGCGTGTCTGCAACCTTGAAGGAACTTATGTCCCTTCAAAAATTTTAACCTGCATAACCTAGTACTGCAGTCAGAGACGTTACCACTGAGTTATTCGGGCTCTTAATGGGACATGAGTTCCTACAAGGTTGCAGATACGCCCTGCTGATGAAAGCCAATTAGCACGAAACCTAGATCCAAGGCTTCTTGCCAACTGCATCCAACCATCTAATATCGACAGTTCACAGTGCGCTGTGTTGGCGAGTCACCTGGAATGCTGGCCATATTGCAACATTGACTGGTAGAATTCAGTCTGCACCAAATAAAGGGTACACTACACTAATCAATAAGTTGTATCCAATATATATATATATATATATATATATATATATATATATATATACCATTATTCTTTGGAAAGATACGGTTTGATTGGTTCTTAAACCCAAACAGAGAGTTTAATAATATAGCTTTAGTTTAAGCATTCGGCGAATCTTCAACTATTTAGTGTCAGTTCATATCTAACAGGCAAAAAATGTACGTCATATATATAAATAAGAATTTCAGCCTCATAGACTACCTATTTCATTTTGGTTTCTTCAGTTGTTCAAACCAATCTTGTTATCAATATTGCAAAGTTTGATAGGAGATAATGGGACTGCAGATATGAATTTTGCATGGCGAATATTACAAATGGATTATACTACAGTGAATCCATTTAAGGTGTTCTATGGTCATGGTGAGTGTTTGGTACTACATAAGTTTTAATTTTACTACATTTAAGAATGAATTTTCAATGAATTGTGTTATTTCAGAAATTATTTGTTATTGTTGATATTGTTTTTTTTATCCAAGGCTATTTGAATGAATTGATTTTAAGATGAAATGCTTTTACTAACAGTAGATTTATAGAACCAGTGAGGTATCCACTCTATTTAGCACTGACTATGCACTAGTTTACACTGAAAATTTTGACAGTTTGTGTTTATTAGTGTTAGCTATCGAAGTAATTTATTTACTGAAGATACTAGTTGTTCATTGTATATCAAGTGGACTAAACAGTCAAACGGTTAAAGAATAAAAAGAAAAGACTATTAAGTAATGTACAGTTTCTTCAAAACTTCTAATTATCATAAACTGTTGCATTTTCATCCTATTCAAGACATGACAGTTGACTTTACCAGCTTCTTAATGTAAAGCCATGGTGAGAATACTATCCAGCGACAAATGATTCGTAAAATAAGTGACAGTCAAATAAAAACATCATTTTTTCAAGTTTTCTGACCATTTACTTCAGTGAATCAAATGATCATATTCTGGCACTGTAAAGGCTATTCGTAGAAGTGGTGCGAAAAAGGACAGTGAAATATATTATCATTTACAATTTAGTGACAGTAAACGGTGAGTAGACAAAAACATATTTAGCTTAATTAATCTCTAAAATATTAATCCGAAAGAACCAATTATATCAACATGGTCAATAAGACAAGAATTCGGTATTCATTTCATCACACTTTAAAGTAATATCTTTACTGATCTACTAAGACAACGGAAGAATCTTTCTCATTTAAATAAATAACTCAGTGAACTTTAAAACGGTTGAAGTAATTTTTTCCATTGTTTACATTTCAGACACTATTTCTAACCCACCACCAGCAACGATAACAAAACAAAAATCTAAAGCTTCTGGCTCACGTAAGCTTTTCTTAATTTTGTGATTTCAGTTGATTTTTCCAGCTGATCGTAGTTTGGTCAAAAAAAATAATTAGAAGTATTTTTCATATTTTACAGGAAATATTGAGAAAGACTGTGGCTTAGATACAAATATCTACTATTTATCAAACAAAATGTTTCGATTTGTGAAAAATACATAGTCTGAGATGACGACATCTTTATGAAAAATCCCATATAGCTTTGATAAACTAAAATATTCAGGTGACGAACTATACTTCACTTATTAAAGTAACTCTAAGATTGAGAAGATAAAATCCTCACTCCATGTCGTCACAAGGAAGATGACTACCTGAAAATCACTAACATCAATAAGCAGTGAATGATAGCGGTTAGGACACTCGCCAACCATGCACATGGTCCGGGGTTCGATTCCCGACCGACACACTCCTTTACCTCTCTGAGCCAGAAATAATGCTGGTAAAGATGAAAGGTTGGGCATGAGGCTAGCAACCCCATCCTCTGAAAATAAACACTGCTGCAGAAACTTCAAGCTACTAGCTCGAAGCCCTGTGTTCCATTGGGAACGTGAAGGAAAAATTATTTATTATTATTATTATACAGATAAGGTTCAACTTCTGGTTTGCTATTTTTATGACACACACCACCTTTGGATAGTTTCCACTTCCAAGCAAAACTACAGTGAAATGATAGTGTTATTTTCCACTTTTTTAAATTCTGTTCTCACTTTATATTTCTCAGTCTGAGATAATCCAGCATAACAGTAAATAAACAGATGAAAAGTTGTCCAAAAATTTGGTTTCTTTAGGTTGAATCACTCGTGTATAACAAATTTTAAATCAGTTCTTCTATATGGGTCAGAAACTTGGACTGCGCTTCACAGAAAGCATTCCGAATAGCCAACTGAAGACTTTTGTCAACAGCTGCCTTCGCTGTATGTTGAGAATCAAATGGTAGGAAAAATTGGCAACAAGAAACTATGGGAACAAACCCAACCAAAAACCCATTGTTGAATATATATATATGTACAAAAAAATGGAGATGGATAGGACATACGCTGGAGATCGTCGAATGGCATCGCGTACCAGGCCGTTATTCGAATGGAACCCCAGTGGGAAATGATAAGGGGAGCGTTTGAGGGTGACGTAGAGTAGATCGTCCGAGGAGGAGATTTTGGGAAATCGTATGGCCACCCAAAGAGGACTGAATAGAATAGGACTAAGTGGAGATGTGTTTTTGAAGCCATATGTTCCACTTGGAATCCAAGGGAACAATAAAAAATATAATGAAATGAAATAGCATATTTGGTATATACGATTAATGATTTTAGCTCCAAACTCGTGAAACAGTTATTTTAGTGACAGCAATTGACCAATGAACTCTTTTTGATAGTTAAGACAAGATTATAGATTCTTACTTTAATCAGCAGGATACATTACGCACCCCAGCTATGCTTCTTCTCACTAGTTATGATCGAATGTAGGACTGAAAAAAAATCGAGAAAATAGTGTTTATGATAACAGCAAATGAATTGATCGTAATGGTCATTGATGAATATATATATATATATTTCTTTAGAGGCTGAGGATGTTGACGTTCACGGATAGTACGAAGTATACTAACGCAAGATCCAATGCCCACAACCTCTATAGTATACATTCCGCGTAGACCAAAGGCAGAGCAAAACACCAGAGTTTAAGGGCCAAATTACGAGTTATATTTCAGGACCAAATCGGAGTGCCTAACTAGCTAGGGTCATGCACGAACGAACTAACGAACATAACCCGACGGCGTGCCAAATGGTGTGGATGGTCGACCGCAAGCCTTCAGCTAAACAAATCGACTAAAACAGTGAGGGTCAGCATCTGATGTTCGGTGATGAGTGCTGCAGCTAATAATTTTCGGGAATTATCTACCCCTTTAGTTCACTCTCCCTCCTAGTGGGATAGTGAGGACCCTAAGGCGAAACAAGTCGGAGGTAAATACCTAGTGGTGACACCATTAGTAAAACTCTTCCGATGAGCTGGGGGGGGGGATTGCCTAATGGTCGTCTACCTGTGCTAATCTGCTGTATGTACATCGCTTTGTTTGTTTCTCGTCCAGTGCCCTTCGTACCTGGAGAAGAAAACAAGAATACTGAGAATCTTGTCGAAGAAAATGTAACAAAAGTAATATTTGAATTAGGATCTACATCTGTCATACGGAAAATAAAGCCAAAAATAGAACATGGAAGAAAATTTTTGGTTGCAAAGGATGTTACATTTACAGTCATAGGAAAAAAATTTAACCTATGACTCGAGATGCAGTGAAAAATGATGTATATGCCTGAAAATATGTATCATAAGTACGAAAATTGGGTGGGTCACACTTCTCTTATTATGTGACATAAGTATGAACATGTTCTGGGAATCTCATGGTTGGTCCAGAACGCGTGTATATATATATATATATATATATATATATATATATATATATGAGCAGTATATATATATATACTGCTCATCTAGTTAAAGTATACCGTTTAGGAAGGATGGTGAAAAATGCAAGACGGATTAAGCCTTGGTGTTTTCGGATGAATTTTGCACTCAGTAGGTGAAGCTACCAGGGTAAGGCTTATGTTTGGAGTGCCAGGACATCAAATTACCACTAAAGGAATATTTAACTACAAGACCTTGGTACAGGAAATCTCTGATGCTAAAAAGATACTCTTTTTATTATCAAAGAACAAGTGTATTATAAGCCTCGCCTTATTTTCTCGACAAGGCAAAACGACCAAATCTGCAATATAGGATGATGTCTTGATTGTGTGGTAATCCCCTCTGACTTACTCAAAATTACGGTTAGCCAGGAAATAAGTGTTGTTATTGGCAAAGATGAAAGCTTAAATGTGGGCAAAATGCTCATAAAATTAGTAGTTATTATAAGAATCTGGTATTGAAAACTCAGATTGGAATTCGGAAAACGTAAAATGATATTCCTTCGGACCATAAGATCATTTTTTCCAGTCTACACGTTGTCGAGATTCATAAGTTGAGGTTATTTTTAATCATGTCTACCTGTTGGTTTTTTTTAAAGGTGGAGAGAAGACTGTGCAACCTGTGAAGGCGTAAGTAAATTATAACTTTGATTTCAGATCATACAGTGCCCGTTTTCCCACGAAGTAAAGATTTTTTTATTATTATGTTAATAAACTTCTAAAAATGCATTTCAGAAGTGAGGAGCCTTTTAGATTGAAAATAACATGGGAATTAAACAATTTAACTACTAACAAGGTTTTTTACAAGGAAACCATAAATTGTAAAGGACTATCTGTGTTTTGAGAAATACTAAAAAATTCATCGTCTTTCTGGTTTTCGCTCGGTTTATCCCGTTCAACAATATATTGAAGATTATGTTATAAATGAATCAAACACAGAATCTATTTTAGACCCGTGAACTGGATTTTTGTAAATTAAAAATCACCCTAGCGTAATCAGAACAAGATGACTTTGAGCGAACAGTTGTTTTCGACAAATATCTACAGTTACAAATCCATGAATATTATATTACAAATAGCCACTAAAGGAATATGGAAACTGTATTGAGGTGCATGTATAATATGGAGTGATAGTTCTCTATTTAATAATTTCAAATAAATGTATATAAAAATTCTGCAGTGATTCAGAACATCAAATATGGTGTGAATAGATAAAAGGGTGTATTATATATGTCCAAACCAAGTTCACTTTTAACGGTTTGAAAAAATTTGGGCATTGGGTATATGATATTCATTATAATAAAGGTTTTTGTATTTCCCAATGAACGAAAAACAAAACGATATTGTCTTTACTGACGTTTCGCTATTTAGTGCTAATAGCTTTATCAAAGTATTATTAAAAAAAGGTGTATTTATAGTCAACAGAATATGAGTTTCGTAGGGGGGTGGGAGTGAGTTATAGTCAATGGTGCGAGAGGAAAATGACTACCACAAAATACATACAAACAAACACGAAAAGGTGGCGAAAACTGGGGTTGATAAAATAAAGAGGTTATATTATGAACTGTAATAAAATATTGGAGACATAAGCTCAGCGTAAATTACAAAAGGTTGTCACATAATAAAGGTAATAAAGGTGAAAAGGTATAAGACATGAAAATATGAATGATTATGTCCCTGCTGACCTTATAGTAGGTCAGAGTGAACAAAGAGGATAAATACGCTCCTTTTGCACACAGGTCAGGTTTTCTCTTATATATATACATCCAAAACGAGTTCACTTCTAACAGTTTGAACAAATTTGGGCATTGGGTGTATGATATTCATTAGGGTAAATGTTTTTTTGCATTTCCTAATGAATGAAAAACAAAACGATATTGTTTTTACTTACATTTTGTTATTAAATGCTAATAGCTTTATCAAAGTATTATCATACTAGAATTTACAAAATCTCAGCATATATATAACAACTTAATCATCGTTTCTCAGCATGGGGCATTTTTGCTTTGTCAAGTTGGCCAGTTGGTAAAGACAACAAAACCAGGTGTAGATTGTTGGATTTGATAAGTGTATAAAACTATAAAGCAGAATGTGCTATAAAGGCAGAATGAAATTGCTTATCACATTCGTGCTGATTTTTTCATTTCATGGGTGTTCGGGCGGGGGTTTTGTAACCAGGTCAAATTCTGTTTTAGTCCATCATTCCTATTCAGACACTTTGGATTCCATTTGATGTGAAGTGCTTTTGATACTAGACGTTCTTTGTGATTTCTGAAATTTTTCTGGATTATTTATAAAAAACATCCAATGTTATGGCATGAGTAAATGGTTTTTAGACCTACGGCTGATGATTTTTCAAGCTTTTCTAGTTCAACTGGATTTCTCACTGGCCGAACAGAGGGGGCTCTACGGTGTCCACTTCTTCTGATTACCGTGATTTCACTCTAGCGATGTTTGTCTGATGTATATCGCATCACATTCCAAGCATTTTATTTAATGGACACATTTAGATAGAGAATCTTTGGGGATTTGTTCTTTTATATGGACAAGGTCGCTTCCCAGAGTGTCTGGTGTTTTGAAGAAAACTGATGTCGTGATTATTCAGTACTTTTTTGATATCGTCTGACGTCTCTGATCTATGTGGAATGACAACCGCCGAGACCCATATCTTCGGAATACGTTTTCGACCATACTTAATGTCAGTGGCTTAATGGTCTATGAGCTCGCTTTGTAACCAGAAGGTCTTGGATTCGAACCCATGGTTGCGCTCAGATGAAGAGTACCAAACTAGGATGAAACAGCTGTCCAGTACTCCCAAGTTTTCCAACGGTTCTATGACTGATTTTGGCTCATGATGAAATCCTCCAACCAGTTAGTATTGATTTTGTTGATAAAGTTCTTAGGGTATTTATTTTGCTTGAGAGTCTCAGTAATGTTTGATATTTCTTCTTTTTCTTTCTGATCCGTTATCAAACAGTGTGCTAGATTAAGAAGACCTGAAATAACTAGTACCTTTGCGTTGATGGGGTTTGATGACCCGAACTCTAAATACATATTGGAGTGGGTTTTCTTCCTGAATAAAGATACACTAAAATGTCCGTTTTCCCTCCTCTTAACTAGGCAGTGTAGATATGGTAGTTCACTGACGTCTGATTCTGCTTCCGGAGTAAACTGGTTTCTGGGAGATACATTTCTTAGTTTCTCCAAGAATGAGCTGTGTAGATCTCGTTTTAGCCCTACAAAAGCATCATCAACTCATCTTAATCATATTTTAGGTGTGAGTATACTTGAAAAGATGTTTTCTTCTAATTTATTAATGAAAAGATCGACGAATTCGAGGTATCTGGTGAACTCAGGTTTTCTCTCATTAGTCTTTATAGCTTCCGCCACAGATTAGAGGCGTAATTGTGTGCCTTCAGGCAGATTGTTTGGTACTCGATATACAACCATGAATAGCTTATCTGTTTTGACGTGATATTCACTATCTACTAGATGAGACAAAATTACACTATTTGTTGATTTTGATTTGGTTACACTTTTTATATGTGTTCGTTTGACAATATTAAATAGCGAACTATCACTCCATATTATACATGCACCTCAATACAGTTTACGATATAGTTTCCATATTCCTTTAGTGGCTATTTGTAATATAATATTCATGGATTTGTAACTGTATAGCCTGAAGAAGAATTTATCGAAAACAGAATTTTTCTTGTAAGTTTGAAACTGCTCATTAAAAATGACAAATAAACGTGACAACCACTGCGCAACTTTAGTTAGTTTTAATTGTTGAATTATATGTAGTTGAGACGATTCGTTTAATCCAAGATGGAGAGTAGTATTTGTTATCGTTTATTATCATTCTTCTGTAAAAATGCAGCCTTAGTTTCAACAGTCGTACTGATTCTTCTTTGACTGGGCACTAGGTAGTAACTAATGTTATACGTGTACCCCTTCTTTTGCTGCAGATTGTCAGTCGAGTTTGCAATATGATGTCTATGCTAGGTGGCCCACTCTGATCTTTTGTTAAGTGGTTAGAGGCAATCGGCGGGGGTATGAATCCCTTCAGGATTGCATATACGCATTGCTGATGAGTGATAACAAGCTCGAAACCTAGGACCAAGGATTTCTGCCGATTGTCTCTAACTACCTAACAACTACTTCTTCTTTTTATGCTTCCTCTTGTGCCAGATGATTTTAGAGATTCGAAACAGATGTTGAGTCATTCCTATTGTGTAAGAAAATGAATAAATTGGTTACAGGATTTCATCATGGACTGACATCAGTTACAGAACCATTGGAAAACCTCGAAGTACTGGACATCTGTTTTGTCCTAGCTTGGGACTCTTCAGTAGTACACACTCACTGGAGTTCGAACTCAGGACCTTCTGGTTACAAGGCTAGCGAGCTGGTTGACCATTAAGCCACTGAGACAATGGATTTGTAACCAATGTCAGCTCGTGATGAAATCCTGTAACCAATCAACCAAATCCCTACAAACCAATACTTGAAAATCAATGAGATGTTAGCTGGGGACTGGTCCTATTCAGGTAGGTAGTTACCTGGGCTTCTAGTGAGAAGTCGTGACTAGTAGGGTGCAGCAGGTAGGGTGTGGGAACAAATACTAGCCGAAGACATTGGCCAGCGGTCGCGCTATGTCGTGAATTGGCAGAATTCATGGGCTATTGGATCGGGTCCCAGTGGCTTAACAGTCTACCAGCTTGCTAGCCTTGTAACCAGAAGGTCTTGAGTTCAAACCCCAGTGAGTGTGTATTACTGAAGAGTCCCAAACTAGGACGAAACAGCTGTCCAGTACTCCAAGGTTTTCCAGTGGTTCTGTAACTGATGTCAGCTCATGATGGAATCCTGTAACCAATCAACCAAATCCCTTCAAACCAATACTTGAAAATGAAATAATTATTTAAATTAGAGGATTAAAGTGGTGTTTGTATTGATTCAAGCAAATGATATTAAAGAATTAGTGAATAAACATCCATTTCTTGAGATTTGTCCAAAAACTACAAGAAGTGATGCAACTGGTGTATGTCTTCACCTTTTTCGTCTTATTAACAATGATAAAAATGAGTGTTCACAATAAAGCATCAGTCATCTTCATGCGTGAAACTTTGTTACTCTGTCATTTAAAACTCTGTCAACTAAATATAGACCTAAATACGGATGTAAAAGGTTACATAGGGAATGAGGAAAACTCCGTAACTCTCAGCTAACAATTAAATCATGTGAATATAAGGACAACTCATTTCCACTAACAGCTCTGTAATCTTGTGATTATTATTACAGAAAATTGCAGAAATACCAACGCACTTTTTTATTTGCTCCTTTTGTTTAGTAACACAGTCGAAGAGACATTTATCAACCGCTGGAGTAAACCAGTTGATCCGAACATACTAATTGCTGTAGTACGCATACAATCATTATTTCGTGGACATCGCATTCGAAGTGCGACACTTCTAAACCAGACAAGGTTTATTGTGGAAACGCTTTCTTCTACCAACTCACAATCGGATACTGAAAACACTGAAACAAAATCGAAATTTTTCATGCGTAAGATACTACTAAGAAAAATTAAACGTTTAACAAATGGTTGGATGAATTGCTTAAATATATTACAACAAGGACATAATCAATATGAGGTTGGAAATGAACTTATTCAAAGGTTGATCTTATCCAATTCTTCAGTGGTAAATAACTGTGCGATACAGACAAGACTGATTGAAGATCTTAATCTCTATCTAAGTGTTAAAGAATATTCCGGTACATATTTCGAAATACCTTCAGAATATCCTATGCATAACACAGGACCTTCAAATTATGCAGAAAAACCCACTAGCATATTTTATAAGGACTGGATTCATCTTTTGTTCCGCGATTGTATTTATTTACCAAATTCAATGAACAATGTACCTATGGTATCAGAGAAAGTGAAGTATTCCATTCAGATGAAAACTGCACTACCTCACAGTTACATCTTGTTGATAAACAATGATAATGGTAAGCCCAATAAATATTTTAGCGGGGAGAGATCATCCTCATTGTTGTTTATTCATTCCATTACGTTTCCAGTGGTACATAGGGCTTCAAGCTAGAGGTTTGAAGTTTCGGTAGGATGGGGTTGCTAGCCTCATGCCCAACCTTCCCCCTTTGCCAGTTCTATTACTGGCTTAGCGAGGTAAAGGAGTGAGTCGGCAGGGGATCGAACCTGGAGCACATGCGTGGTTGGCGAGCATTCTACCACTGTGTCACCGACTCACATCCTCACTGTAATTGGGCATTAGTTGAGAAGTGGGGAGTGGTGGACAGGTTTATCATCTTGATTTTAGACACATAATAAACTCCTACTGAAGATTTATCATGTAATATAGGGCTAAGCATGTTCAGCACTACCGAAACAAAGAATAGATGGGTATGTTTTTCTCCACGGTTTCTGACTCCGCACAAAACTCTTTACACTATCCATTTACCTGTTTAAATCATTAAATTGGCTAGAAAAATTATCCTACTTTGAATGTATCATTACTCTCCGGTCATTTTGTTAGTTAAATAAAAAGATGCAGACAAGCAAGTGATTAAAATCTGAGCATCTGTAAATAGCTTGTTTGTGTAACACTTGCAGTTGGTACGTAGCTAAAACTAAATTAGGGGTTACACATTGTTTGACAGCTGCTAAAGTATAAGGTTGATAAGCTAAAAGGCGATTAGTTCCAATTATATTAAAGTACTTTTTTTACTTAAATTACTTTAAAAAAATAAAATAAAATCTGTCTTAGCGGCGTATCACTTAAATTCACTTCCTGGTATTTTAATGATTCATTTTGAAATTTCAGGTGTAACTGTTCGACCATCAGTAGACTTCCCATACACTTGGTTACATCTACCTGAAAACAACATGGGTTATAGTTTACTGGGTGTTGCAGGCAGTGGACCGGCACCAAATGGAAAATGGAGTTTACAAATTTTGGGTCCAGGTATTATGGGAACTGAAAGACTGCCTAAGCCAGCGAATGCTTCGTCTCAAAGTTTATGCTCAAATTTCCATATACTTGAATTGGAAGATTACTATGAACCAAATTCTAGTGGTTTATTATTTCGACGTCGAATATGTGTAAGTTTAGGCTCGATATTTCTAATACAATAGTAGTGATAATGACTACAATAATAATTTGGTTATCATTATTACTGTTATTAGTACAGATATAAGGAGTAATGGCAATTTGTAAATACCTAATTTTTTATCACATCAATTAGCACATATATGCTAAAATTAAATAAAAGCGGTCAGATTGAGTATGAATGATGAAAATTATTAATTGTTCTCCTTTCAGACAACAACTGTGCCCAGGCAGGGTCTTGTATAACTGTATGAGTTTAAGTACAGTAGGAAAACATTTTTACCTCGAGTTGTGAATTTTTCGATATTTTAGTAGCTTGCCTTCAGTCTTTTCAAAAAGTTTACTCCACTTCCTGACATCTTGTCAAATGATTAGTTAGTTATAAACAGTTACGATCGTCTTCATTGAGAATGCTTCAACTTACGATGTCAGTCAAATCGTAGTTGAAAGTCATTTTTAGTTGATGAGATGGTATGCCAGTCTTGGTATACCACTGAAGCGGTTAAATACAAATTGTTGAATTCAAAATTTGATAAATTAGCAGTTCATGCAAGCTGTGAGATATAAGGAACCTGTTAAATTTGGGAACTTTCAAACTCACACCAACAATCAGTATTTTTTATTTATATTTAAAGTTATATCACTCTGCGGTAAGAATGCTTTTATATGAAACTTATTAACCCTCTAGAAATGAAAAGTTTTTTTATTGGACCGTTGAAGATTGGATCTTCATATCGACCTTAAGGAAAATAAAGTTATGGAAGGGAACGCAAAGTAACGTTACAGTTACTGTGAAAAACAATCAAACAATTTTTAAAGCCTGATATGGGTAATTCTGAATGCTGTCACTATCAAGTTCAGGCAAAGCTCTTATTATATGTCAGTCATTGGTAGATTTATTAAGATTTATTACAGATCTCCATATTTTAGTAGTTGTGTTTCTTTACAGCTGCAAATATATTTCTGACTAATTGCTGGTATATATTTTTGTCTTATTATTCCTGTTGCTGACAGGCTATTAATGACAGCTTGATAACAGTTCAGTTGCGATTATCTGTTCCGAATGTATATACACGATTATGCATTAAAATGGGTAACAAGGAGGTAGTGTTTGATGACGGTTATGGTGGTGCATGTATTTTCGCCTACATGTTATTATCTGATACAATGTCGTCAGATGGTCGAAAAAGTCGGGCGTCAAATTCAGGACGTCTTCTAGAGGCCTCAAAAACTGAAGTTATTAAATCAAGTCCTAGAGAAGTGACGAATCCAAAACTTACAGCAGTCAAATCAAATACTGCCAGAGTATCTCCACGAAAATCTACAACACCTAAGAAAAACATAAAACCAGGGGTAAGGAAGGTAGTCAACCTGCATATATTTTAAAGTAACAGTTATGCTGAGTAGAAGTTTTCTTAAGCAAAATGGATATATTTGTTGATAGCTTTGTCATGTGTACTTTGCTTGCATTACCTGCTTAGTTCATAACAAGATCTTAGTGTTATGAATTAGTGAAGTCTGAAATCATAAATGATTCAATTTTGACGTAGTGGTTGCTTAACAGAGTAACCTAATAGTCATCAGCCAGATATTTCATGGCAAAATGGGAGCGTACTGCTGAAAAATGCAAAACTACTAGTAAGTAGCTGTTAATTATTCCTGGTTGTTTGACGACAAAATCTGACTTCTAATCATAATTTTAAGATATAGTGTTTTCTCCATCTGCAGTTATTTTTCTTCACATTAATCGTTAAACCATATTTTTAGGCCACTTTTTATCCCCGAAAGCCATCCAGCAAGAATACTTGGAAGGTGATTTTGCTCATGTTTGAGAATGCTGTAAGAGTGAATGCGTGCATGTAATCTTCTAGGAAAGTTTATCGAATCAAGTAGACTCGAAACACTGGTGTCGTACCACCTAGTCTAGTGGTCACATTTTTCGCCTGATCGACAGATTCTCTTCAACACTAGGCACTTTTTGGCTGAAGTAGATACCGTCTCTTATTCAACTTTTGTATATTTACCGTGATTTTATCCACTACTTGTTGTTTAGACCAGGTTGCCGAGAATGCATCTTTGACGTTGCGGAATATGAGCCAGACGTGTTGTATGATTGCTGATAATATTTCTCATTTGCTAAAGTTCATGTGGTTGTGAGTGGATTCGAACCCGTATTCCACTGGTTGAAAACTGAGTGCTTCAGCCAATGAGCTCCATCTTCACCCCTACCATTTAGGCTATTACTGTTCCATTGGAAAACCTGTTCACCCGCCTAAAACAGTTATTTTTAATAGTGATTGTTTTAGATACATAAGAGAAGAAAATATAAATAAACGGAAGTTGAAATTAAAGAAACTGGTGTCAGTTCTACTAATTCCTTAATTAGAAATGGGGAAAAATATTTTGGAATACTATTTGCCAATCTAAGCTCTCTATTTTTTATTTCGTTATAGTTTCCTCTTATTTAGCCGAAAAATGATTGAGGAAAGGTGATAACAGAAAAGAAATTGATTCAGGTCATTACCTGTGAGACATCGCTCTTCTCAGCAACTTTTAAGTCCTACTGCAGTTGTTGACTACAGTTCAACGCAAAAACAACATATCAATTAAGACTGCCAGATAAGACTTTTACACACGGAGTTATTCTCCGGATTTGAAGTTCCACTGGAAAACGTTTCAGTTTTTTACAAGACATTATCATTATCAAAACTCATCGTTATGCATTGTTACGCATATGAAGCAATAGAAAGCATTCTTTTGAACGATTCACTGCATTTTTAAATTTCTTTTAGTCAAGAGAAACATTTGCAACATAATAACAGCTTTATAAAAACTTCAGTAGTTTCGACCTTTGTCTCAGGCCCTGATACATTTTTGTTACACTAAATTACTTAATTTCGTTTTGAAAAGGAAGTGTGATTGAAACTGAACTGTATTCTATAAAATTAGGAAGCCAAACGAGAAAATTTACTAGGATAAGGCGTTTTTAGAAATAGAAATTATGAAAACAATTTACCTTGTCTCATGAGGTGACTAAATCTGCCAGTGGAAAATGGGATTTGCTGGATACAAGTAAGGTAAAGTGTAAGGGAACAGCAGTAATACATAAATCAAGAAAAAAACGTGGTTGATATTCGATAAAGTTATATGACCGCAAAATAGGTGGAATAATCGTGACTGCAGAGGATTTATCTTATCAGATAAATTTGGAATGGGATCATTTAATAATTGTTGGTACACAGGAGTTAGAGGGACAGATATATAGTCGACAGAAACATATCAACTCAAATTTCTGAATTCCGCCAGGTAACACCAAAATTATAATAATATGAATGCAGAGATTATAAGAACGGAACCATACTCCACCAAAAGTAAATAAGAGAATGGTGTAATTATATATATATATATATATATATATATATATATATATATATATATATGAGAAAATAAACTGAGGATATTTTTTTTTCATCATAAATTACTGTTAGAGTGGTTCAAGTAGTTCTACTGGCGGTAGTACGGTAGGCAGTAGTGGCGGCAGCAGTGGTATTAGCAGTGCTCACAATGAAAGAAATAGTCGCCCCGTATCGAGTGAACCAATTTCTGCTCAACTTCAAGGTGATAAAGAAAATACCCTGAAAGACGAGGATCGATATTATTGGATTGAAGCCTTTGTCGATGTTAAACAGTGGCCATTAAGTATCAGTAATTGGTCATTTTTAGAGGAAAGGCGGTTAGCTAAACTTGAAGAATGTCAAGGTAATATGTACAAGTACTTTTATTACCTAGTTTGATCTATGTTTGTTATTCAAAATTATTTTAATACTATTTAAGCATAAAAACTTGGTACAATATGACACCAAGAACATGCGCCACACAATATTAATAAAACAACATAGATTAAAAGTAAAAATATAATTAGAGAACGGATAAAGAACTTCATCCTGGAGGAAAAGAGTCATACTTAACTAGTTCAAACAGCATTCGTCAACTATAATCGGGAAGGGAAGAAAGAAGGAAATTGCAGCACGTTCGCCATTGATAACGATTCTTGGCCACATCCGGTAACGTTTCGAGCCATCGATTCGAGTTATCTCTGGGACTTCAACCAGAGAGTCGTGACACACCGACCGACGCTAACCTAACACAAATATCCTTCATCCCATGACGCTACGTCTTAGGCTGACCACCTCCCTGCCTTTTTCTTCCCGTCCCAGAGCTAACGAACAGAGACCTGTATGGAAGCCTCTGGGATTACATTCGTAGCACATTTCTGAGCCACCGAAGCCGGTATTTCCAGGTGACGACACTCGATGAATGGTGATCTCCACTGTATTCAAACGCACGTTACCGAACCTCATATTCACTCATACGATGATGACATCGAACGCAAGCAATCCTGCAGAGACAACGATGATCGAATACGCAGACCCCCCGCATATCCTCAGCTCGGAAAGGCAAGGTTTCACAGGCGCAGAGCAAGACAGCCCGCATCGAAGCATTGTATAACCGATCTTTGACAGCCAGGCTAATATCGCGACGCCGCCAGAGGTGGCTCAAGTTGATGTATGCCACCCTAGACCTGATTATGTGGTCGGAAATCTCATCCGTCACCCCTCCGCCAGCACTCACACAACTACCCAGGTACACAAACTTATCAACAACTTCAAGCGGTTCACCTGCAAGAGTGAGTGCCTGAATAAAGAGATATTGAAAGTCGAGAAAATACTTTTTATTAGGTAAAGAAACTATGAGTATTTGTCTGAACTTACACTTAGAGTAGATAAATTGGCTCAATTCACATTGAGTAACTGCAAAATATCACCAGTGCCTCAGAAATATGAGAGTCGAATGTGGGTGATTCTGATTCAATATACGCTAATGCGCTTAAAGATTGACTTATAAGCTTGAAACCAATGAGAATTGGAAATCATAAATATTGATGTACAGTCAAGTTCCATGGTTATCTTAGAGAACTTACTTTTGATATAGATGTTCAAAACTACGTATGACTCGATGGGCTCTGTACATAAGCATTGTCGAAGAAAACACCAACTGGAACCTTACTAACTGCCTTATATCATGATGACAGCATAAAACAGAATAAATCTAACACTGACAAGGGCTAGGTCTTTTTATCTTGTGCGCTAATCATGGAATGAAACGATAGTTCAAGATGGTTAACTGCAGGTTTCTAAATTCTGCTTTTTATTGACTTTTCTACTAAAACATTTCTTGATAAAATAAACTCTGCGTATCTAAAAATTCGGAACAAGATTTTTCTGATCGTTTGGCTGAGTAAGCTACAGTTTTTCCTGCTGAACTGCTGCTTCCAAGTATAAAACCAATCTAGGATATTTATAGTTCTGTTATCTGTAAACTATATATATACCCAGTTTTTTCCTATCATAGTGAATAATCAGTCTAGAAGTGCCTCAGCTGATAAAAGTTCCAGTGGTAGAACCGTAAAATCTGCAACAAAGTCTGCTGGAGGTAAATCCAGTGGTGTTGGTCAAAAATCTGGTTCTGGACGTGGTAATTCCGCGAAAATTGATGTAAATCAGGCTCATTGGAAAATAAGAATAATTTGTAATAACTCTGTAAGTTTGCGTACTTTATAGTGTACAACCAGTAATCTTCAAATGATTTTTCAGTAACTATATTCTGCTGTAATATTGTTTCCTTCATGTTTGATTAATTTTTTGTACGATTCTATCTTCGGTCTTGATAGCGAAGACAATTTCAACTAGCTATAGTGCACATCTGATCAATAGGCTCACATACACCCCCAAGCCAACCTATCAAAGCAAAAGCCACCAGGGAAAGCACACAGAAAATCGCCTTACCATATATAAAGGATATCTCAGAAATCACTACAAGACTCTTCAAACCTTTAGGAATCGACGTCGTACACAAACCAGCAAAGTCGCTTCACTCAATTCTATGTCAACCAAAAGACTCAACAGCGAAAGAAGATAAAAGCAACACCATCTACAAAAAAATTGTAACAACTGTGAAAAACACTACATTGGCCAAAGTGGACGTCCCCTTCGTATCCACGAACATAAGCTAGTCGTCAAAAGACATGATATCCACTCCCTCATATCACTACATACAGACAACCACGGACATCAATTCGACTGGGACAATGTTCAAATATTAGACAGAGGAAACAACAAGAATGCTAGAGAATTTTTAGAAGCTTGGCATTCCAGTGAATCATCGATCAATAGGCACATCGAGATAGACAAAATTTATCAACCGATCAGAAAAAACTTCATACACAAAGGGTCAAAGTTCAAGTCAAAGAAACAACCAGTTCCAATACAAGTAACTTAGAAGGTGTGAAAACACACACAAACAACCAATCACGTCCAAGGTCACCAGGGGAGATGATTAATAAACTCGTGGAGAAGACTAAAAGCTCACTTCAAATAGAAGTATGCGCTGAAGATGTCACTTAGTAGGGTGATTGAAGCTTCGCAAATTAACCATCCAGCTCAGAGAACACAACCACATCAAAATAGACTCAGATAGCACAAATCTGTATGAAACCTTCAATTCTATAGATAATCAGCTAGTGATAAGGTATTCGGCCATAGCAATAATAGTGATGATAATAATAATAACAGCCTTATTCCAAACAATAATTTTTATACAGAACACTGAATAACAGAATAAAAGTCAGTATCCTCATTGTAATATAGCCGATTTCTAATGCAATAGTAATAGTTACGAAATCTAAACTGAGGTAAACGTATTATAAGTGCAGAATAATTTTGATTTGATATCAAAACACTGCTCAACCTATGATATATTGATCTATGGCAACTGACATTTTTATCTGTTTTGTGAAAACATGATCCTATCTGGTAAACCGGAGCCTACCATGATAATCTTTATCCGTCTATATTACTAAAATTAGTATCAATTATTATCCATCTTGGCGTTTCATTTTTCGTATTGATTGATTTGTCAAGTAAAAGTGTCGTCAGATTGTTCGAAATTCATTATGCAAATACGTCACACTTTTGAGTTAATCTTTCTTTTCTAATATAATGCTATCCGAATCTAATTTTTTGTTTCAGAGTGATGTGAAATTAATTAATGCGGATAGTAGAACTGCAGAAATTAAAGCTTTAAAGAGAGCTTGGGAGGAAGTGGAACCAGGGAGATCGATGAGAGGTGAACTTTCAAGAACGCGTTATCTTGAAGAATATGGTTTAATGAATAGACCGGACTTAATAGATGATACTGAGTCAGTCATTACAGCCAAATCTGATGGTAAGTCATCGAAGAAAGATAGTTCATAGTTAATTTCTTGACTGCAAACATTATTTTACCAACGTAAGACGTTATAGTTAAGCTAATACAACTGAGAAAGTTTACAGTAAGCAAAGTATCTGAATGATTGTATTTATTTACTTAGATAAACTGGGTTACATAATATATTTCACTATCTAGTGTAACAAATAAAGCCACATTTCAGCTTTGTATCGATTAATTATTTAGGTTTCCTCCTTAAAAACCTGAGGTAATTTAAATTGATACATATGCAACCTTATTTCCATGAATATGCTCTTATAATTCAGTCATAACCTCTACTAATTCAAATTTATCTGCTGGAAGTCTGGTTAGTTTCTAAAATGCCGTTAATTAGCACATCTTAGTCTCTGTTATGTGGTTATGCTACGCACTTATTGTGGATAGTATAAAGTATGATTTTATTTTTATCTGGTTATCTGAAGAAAAAAAGCTTGAAACTTGTTTCACTGTCATCTTGTATTTGAATAAGAATTATATTTCACTTAGGTATTAATGTTTACGATTTGGTGACACTTCTTACTCTCCTTCATTTGTTACATCTAAATAAACAGACAGTCAAATTCAAACTGCTAGGGAACAACCTTTAACCGACCCTTCATCAGATCCGTCGAGAATTTACGTCCTTACATTCCCGCAAGAATTAAATCGAACTGTCAGTCATGTGAAACCGGTCGAATTACAAAAGTTCACCATGAAACCAGATGAAGTTGAGTTGAATCGAATTGACGAAGCAAGTAAATTGGTTGGTCCAAATACTGAACAATGGTTTATTGCATCGCATTATCTACAGCAAGTCCAACTGTTGCCGAATAATGATATGGATAAAATGATAAAAGTGAAACGGGAAATATTTAACAAACTGATGCATAACTTGGAAATGGAACTAGCCGATCATAAGAAGAAACGTGGTTTGTGTCAACAAAATCACATTGTTATGCTCAAGATCGCTCAGGTAAGTCAGTGTAGACGAAAGGTCATCTGTAACAATGGTTTTCATTTTCAGAAACTTAGAAGTTACACATATTTGAATACTTCGAGAGTTTAATGAGTTTTAGTTTAATCTTCAGGTCTTTGATAACAAAGTGGAAGGATGTAAGACAAACTTTAAGACAGTCTATGATATCGGTGAAGACAATCCAAAAAAACAGTGTTGGAGGGATGTAACTGGTTAATAAGCAATTAGAACTTTGAATTGGTTTATTAAAATATTTGGATCTTCTTAACACTAACTCCTCACACAAGATCACGTACCTTTGTTTGCCTAAAAATTGAGATCTTATTCAGACCTCAACCTAATTTACATAGATTTATATATAGAAAATTTAACTATTGACAGTGAGTTTATGAGTCAAATGATAATAATAATAATATAATGTGGTACATATTTTGAACGTCAGTTATAATGATAACAAAATAATGATAATAAGGTTTATGCACAAGGTAATATGAATAACGAAGATAGTGAGTGATATGTGTATATGTATATATAGACAATTCAACAAATAAATTAGGTCAAATCTTAAAAGTGGCGTAATATTAGAGGTGAAGTGGACAGACAATCAGAGTTTACATCAATATCATAAAAATACGGAGGAAACGGAAAATAAGAAATGCCTTATTATCATAATTTTGTTATTATTATAACCACTGTTATTACCGATGTTTAAAAAATTTAACACTTATTATTATCATCAGAAATTAAGGTACTAATTAGAGTCGTTATGCTGTATAGAAAAATATTTAACTAGTAAAAGCTGTCAAGATGAGAAGAGGAGGTATAAATATACGTTATGACTTAACAAATGGACGGAACGAAATATATAGAAGAAAAGATGGCTTGAATTACCAGAGGTCATCATAATGTACACACGAAAATTCGAAGAAATTTTCTTGTTTCGTGAAACTTGGGTTCTTCCACTTAGATGGCTAACACTTCAGATGCTTGAATCAAAATTTCGGCAGGTGATTTCTCACCATTTAATACCCCTAAAATAAGTAGAACCGTGAGTAACAGATTAAAAATTACGGCGGTTAAAATCGGCCAACACCGAAAAGGAGTAAAGTTTGAGATCCAGTATAATGGAGACTTAGGAGCTTCTGTTAATTTGCCAGAAAGGTATCTTTGCCTTTGACTTTCCAAACAAATAATTTTGTTTCCTCTGAGATGACATTTGTGTTCAGGAAAGAAAAAGTGATGTTCCACCACTGGAGTTTATTTCCGATTACACATCAGTGAGAATGACTGTGGGTGAATTTGTTTTCCAAAATCTAGGTTAAAAATAAATAAGATAAGATCTCCTTTCTACCTTCGTTATGGTAAGGAGGAGAGATTAAGTAGTCAGTTTATTTGTTCTTCTTCTAATATTTCTGTCATTTCAGGGATCATACATATGACAGTCTTTCTGATTTTTTCTAGTATCTGTCAATCACCTTCTGCTTGCTGGTTGGCTGCACCAAAGAAGTATACAATTTATTTTTTTATTTTTGATTACAGCTTGATTCCACACCGTATTTTTGGGACAAATGTGGAATTTTCAGCATGGATATCGGTAGCCCAAATTTCCCAGGCCTACCATAGATATCAGGTGTGCGTCGGTGTGGGCTCGAACCCCGGACCGTGTGCATGGTCGGCGAGAGTCCTAACCACTGTGCCTCCGACGCATATCGCTGGACATTCCAGCAGTAGTCCCGTGTATCTCCCATAGTATTCTAAGGGCTGCTGTTGAAACTGAGAGACGACGACTTATTGTGCTTCTGAACTGAAGTAGGGATCTTCAGTCCATATTGAAAACATCTGAAGTCTGGATGATTCTTTAATTGGTTAAATTACACGAATTTAATGTCTCCGGTACCAGTATCTCAGAGATCCCTTTCACTCTGTTACTGCCTAAAATATTGTTAACCATTATAAGTAAGGTGTCTATCACTATCTACTAATTATTATAGATGAGATTCATTATTTATCAAGTGGCAGTGACAGAAATACAAAGCCACAAACGAAAAGAAATACACATTTCATCAAAGCAAGGCTAGTGACTACTCGCTAATGACCTCAGTAATATACAAGAAATAAAATGCAGATTACCTAGGCTTCAATCTGTGAAATCTTTTAACTCCCTAACACTTGCAAAATCCTGTTATGGCGAGCATGCACATCATACAAAAATCTGTTTTGTAGATTTACAGGTGTCGTCTGTCTCTAAAATTAGGGAAATGAGGCCATTAAATAGCTCTCTTCACATACTCTTGAAGTTTTGGGATTATTCTGTTTGTTACAGGATTTCATCATGAGCTGACATTGGTTAGAGAACCATTGGAAAACCTGGGAATACTGGACAGCTGTTTCGTCCTAGTTTGGGACTCTTCATCAGTACGCGCCCACATGGGTTTGAACCCAGGACCTTCTGGTCACAAGGGGAGCTCGTAGATCATTAGGTCATTTGGACCCGATCCAATGGCCCATGAATTCTAACTTCTGCCAGTTCCCGACATAGCGCAACCCCTAGCCAATGTCTTCGGCGAGTATTTGTCCTCACACCCGACCTGCTGCACCCTACTAGTCACGACTTCTCACTAGAAGCCCAGGTAACTACCTACCTGAATAGGGGAAGTACTCCCAGGTTTTCCAATGGTTTTCTTACCAATGTCAGCTCATGATGAAATCCTGTAACCAATCAAATCCCTACAAACCAACACTTGAATATTCTGATATTCTGACTGATGGAGTTCAGTCTACATCAATCAGAGGACTAGATGCACCACACTAGTTACTAGTGTCGAATACTTGAATATTCTGTTTGTGTTACAGAACAAGTAGACTTTTAATCCGATTTATTTATTGGCACACTTAGTCTGTTGAATTAATTGCGTTCTCTGAGCTGACTGATTTAATTAAAAGCCTTTCGTCGTCCTTCTAGACAGCATCTTCAGAGCAGGTTTTAGTATTTTCTAATAGTTGCGTAGCATACACGAAGAGCTGTTTTATCACATTGAATCTGAGCTTCATTTCGCACCAACTTCGATATACGGATTATATTTTCATTTATTCTGTTCTCCATCAAATGCAACATTGGGAATTAGCATAATTAGGATGCAATAAACTACATATACTGGTATGAAATAATAAAGATACCATCTTACATGTTTAACTATGATCCTTGTTGCCTAGCTACGAGCATCAAACAGCATTTACTGCCACAGAAAGGTGATTTTAGGAGTATGCTTTAGTATCACTTCTGTTAAATGCTCAATATTTTTAAATGTATAACTTTTTATTTTTATTAGTTTTTGAACGATGAAGCTCACTTTAAATACTATGACATGTGTACAACGTACAGGAATAATTTAATCAAACAATATAAAGAGGAGAAAGAAGCACTTTTGAATGAAAGTGCTGATTACTCTGCAGTTGAACCACTTGTAAGTCAACAAAAAAGTCCTAAAAAAGAAAGAATAAAGTCATCAAGAAGTTCAAAGTCAGGCTCAAAAAGTCGTCCCAGTTCAATTAAAAGAAGGAGTTAACAAGCGCTTTACTTTGTTATATTAATATTATTTGTTCAGGGTTAATTTGTTAGATAATAAATATAAATTTTAATTTAATGAGAAGTTACGATTTTTTTACGGGTGGATATCTTGTTATCACAATAGACGTCAGTTTTACTTCAGCTTAGTTGTGAAAGCAAAACAAAGTAAAAGTCTTCACTATCTCATCAACCAACACCCATCTCAACAGCAGAACTGTAACTATCAAAATCAAAGTCTGATAAAATGCACCCCATTACCTAATTCAATAAATGTCACCATCACACATTATTTGCTTTGTCGAAATCATAACTCTTGAAAATTTAGTTTAATTGGCAAAGTTCTGCAGAATGTAACCTGATAACGGTTGAGACTAACTCTTCTGAAAAGTAATGACTTACTGAGTCTACTCAGTCCAAGTTAGTTTACATGCTTTATAAGTATGATTAATGCTAAATTAGGAAGTGGAAGGCACTGACGATCAAAGCCTTTAGAATGAGAACCATTCGATCAAGTTATTGATTTCTTGATTAATTAACCTTTAAACAATGTATTTACTCGGCAAGAAAAGATGTAGTCCAGCTGACAGACATTGATTCGATAAATGGAATTCTAGCCTTGATATAATTCACTGTCAAAAATAGTTTAAACCATAAATTTGCACTAAAAATCAACGGTTACCAATGTGGAACTTTATTTAAGCATTGGTTTTGTAAGGATTTTGTTTGATTGTATGGAGGATTTCATCATGAGCTGACATCATTGGGTGCGTACTTATGAAGAGTCCGAAACTAGGACGAAACAGCTGTCCAGGTTTTCCAGTGGTTCTGTGACTGATGTCAGCTCATGATGTTATTATTATTATTGTTTCCTTGGGTTCCTAGTGGGCTTCAACTGCACGTCTCCACTTGCCACTTCTGTCTTTTGCTGTACTTTTCACCTGCATCCATGTTAGTCCATACTCTTTCAACTCCTCTTCACACGATCTCCTGCACGTCACCCTTGAACATCCCACTCACCGCTTCCCTTTCGGGTTCCACTCGTGGGCCTGACGCGCTATGTCACCAACCGGCCTCCTCAGCGAGTGTCCAATCCATCTCCATTTTCTCCTGCATATTTGTTGGGCCACTGGTTCTTGTTTCGTTTGTCCCCATAGTTTCTTGTTGGTGATTCTCTTCGTCCCGGCCATCTGATCTTCAGTATAGAGCGAAGACAGTTGTTGATAAAGGTATGCAACGGGCTGTTGGAAATATTCTTTTTGACCCACCAAGTTTCTGATCCGTATAGAAGAGCTGACTGACTTGACGTTTGTATTGAAAATCCGACCGAATTTTGTTGTTGGTGCTGAGTGACGAGGATTTCCAGATTGGTTTCAGGTTGATGAATGTGTTTCTCGCTTTTCTGATTCTCAATTTGACATCCTCGTCCGTTCCGACTGCCTGTAGTTGGGACAATGCTCCCTAGATAAGTGAGTGAATGAAGTAACCTCTTTCCAATCCCTCCCGTTGATGGTGGTTGGCGCTGGATGTTGCTGCTGTTGTTGTTGGCTGGTTATTTTCATAACCTCCGTCTTGTCTATGTTTACATGGAGTTCTGACTTCGCCGGCTGCTTCTTCGACCAGTTTGTGGGTTTTCGCTTGAAAGTCTTCGATTTTGTGACAGTGACATCAAACATAAATCATCCACGCATGAAATCCAGGTCTTCTAGGTTCTTCACGTCGGTCCAGGATATTCCTGTCTGCTCGTTTCCCACTGTCTGACGCATAATGCAGTCCACCACAATTAGGAATATCATTGGTGATAATAAGCACCCTTGTCTGACTCCTGTGTTTACTGCAAACGCCTCACTGAGTTTTCCGTTGTGGATCACTTGACATGTGCCGTTGTCGTTCAGCTGTTGAATAAGGTTGATGAATATTTGGGGTACGCCGTAGTATTCGAGTAGTTTCCAAATTACTTCACGGGTAACGCTGTCGAAGGCCTCCTCGAAGTCTATAAAGTTGAGGTAGAGGTTTGATTGATGGCCATTCCATGCTTTGTTCGATGATGATGCGTAGAGTTGAGCTCATAATCAAATCCTCCATATAATCGAACTTTATTTACACCACCTTCGGCTGAAAGTAGTCTTATCTCAGTTGAGAATTCACAACTAACTAATTAACGGTTTTCCTAGCACATTTCTATGTAAAACAATTAGTCTCTTATAAACTTGGATAGTGTTATTAGAGGACGGAGATTATCTGAAAAATGTGATACATTTGAGCAATACATTTCATACAATCTGATCACACACATTTACTTGTCAAGTCAGTTTATATGGAAAAAAATTACAGGTCAACTAAAGTATACAAAGTGACAAAAAAGAATTCAGCTATGGTCTCAGCATATTTCAGTAAGCGCTCCTGACCATTTTTATAGATGATCTTAGAAGCTGTGTTCACACCAGTCTTATGGTTCATCTCGATTGAATGTTTGACTACAGACGCAGTTGGTAGTCTTCCACCTGCGTCTATTGACATTCCAAAGTTCCTCTGTCTTTCTAACCATTTCGGAATATGCTGTCCCACCCTCACATGCAAATCATAATTACTCCTCCCAACTTATGTGTGACCGCACACACACGTAAATTGGTAAATAGTGTGGGCTGTGACAAAATCACTTGTGCACTTTTGAGGTTTGAAGTAGAGCATACTTTTAGCTTTTTCAATGATTACAAGCCGAGCTGCATAATAGGTCCTACCAATAATCGAGTTTAATCTCTGTCTCAAAATTCTGTTATTTATTTCCACATTGTATGGTAATTTGATGAAGACATCTTTCTTTGAAAACTTGTCCCTTAACTTAATTGCTAAAGTGCCCTTCTATAGGAGATATGTAGATTATATTATTTTGATATGTGGTGATCATGAAGATGCTAGTCGTCTTTTGGATAGACTTAACTCCGCACAGAATCATATAAGTGTTACACGCAACGAAGAAAGTCACAATTAGCTTGTATTTTTAGACATAACTCTGAGTCGAACAGATAATGGTTCAATAGGACGATCAATTTACAGAAAGCCTACTTGGATAGGGTAGTATTTTCCAAGCTTCTGTTGACTACAATATAAGAGAGGCTTTGTGAAATATTTAATTAATAGGATTCAGGGTATTCGCGCGGCTGATGTTTTCGAGAAGGAAGATAAAATAATGATGGATACTCTTGTTGAAAACGGATATCCTTTAAAAATTCTGAACAGATGTAAAAGTCAGTTAGTCTTAAAACCTACAAACGTTTCTCTGTGCTTAGAAATGGAATAAATCAGACACGTTTTTGAAGAATAATGTCGTTCCAAAAATTCCTATGCCTTTCTTATACTTAGTCTAATCAATAAATCAGAATTTACCATGGAGAACAATTATCGTTTGTTTAAAGTTCAAGTGACTGTCGTATGCTAATTCATTACAACCATTTGTACTTAATTCCATATTCCAGAAGCTGATTGCTACATAACGTCTTTCAAATGTTTTAAAATTGGTGGAGGGTTAACGATATGGAGATCAGAATTTAAGTTACCAAAATCTGAGCATCATGATAGTGTAACCTATTAAAATAAAATCCACGTTTCGCCGAAGCATTCACTACTTGGTTGTGGGACTGTCTCCATGCAGAAGTTATAGATATTGAGCTATCATATGAGTACAGCGACCATCAAACACCGAGAGGCATCTTACATATTTAGTTGCAAGGAACTCTCACAATGAATTCAAACTTAAGTGATCAGAACTAGAACATTAACTAAATTGAAGTTCATCACTAAATAGTTCGATATATGATTTGGGTTGTTTTGTATCTTTTCCACTAGTAGTGAGGGGAATACCTAGATAAAAAGACTTTTAAGCAAAATCTGTTTGTATATGTGCAGGTGCAAGTAGGTCTCTTTAAAAAGCATAGTGCATCAATGTTACGAAACTCATGCTATACATTGAGACATTCGGCCAACCGATGAAACAAAACCTAATTTGACTGAGTCATATACTAGTAAAATGACGTTAATAAATTCCAATTTCTTTTGTCGGTCACCAGCACATTTACGTGACTTGAATATATTTGATTTCCAAATAGAATTTCGAGATTTAAAAATGACGAGTTTGAGTCCGGTTAACATTTACATAAATCGTTTGTGGTATTACTTTCATTTCACGCTTTCGTAAATTACGGATTGAAACTTATTTAATAGTGATTCTTCCTTAATATATCTGGAGACATTACTTAAGACTACATTGACTTATACATTATAGACACACTGCTGACTGATGAATTCCTCATTAATATACGTACTGGCATTCTATGGTCAGTTAATTGTACATATTCACCAAAAAGCAGTATTTTTTTATTTTAAGATTAAGAAATGCTTTTTATATCCTGAGTAATTATCCCAAAATTTTGGCTATAAGCTATTGTACGGTTAGACTGAATTACTGCAGCCTAATGCTAGTAAGCAGTCGTTTACATTTCCATACCACAGTATGAACTTGTATGAATGGTTTAATTGGAAAGCTCCTATAATTCATTTCGTTGGAACTCGAAGTTGAGCTATTATTTTATTTTTATTTCTGATTACAGCTTGATTCCACACCGTATTTTTGGAACAAGTATGGAGTTTTCAGCGTCGATATCGGTAGCCCAAATTTTGCAGGCCGACCATAGATATCAGGTGTGCGTCGGTGTGGGCTCGAACCCCGGACCATGTGCATGGTCGGCGAGAGTCCTAACCACTATGCCACCGACGCAATTGCTGTACGCGGAAGTTAAGCGGTGTGCTAGAGCACACAGATATTCAACCAGGAAGTTAGTTACCCCATTGAGATAATTAAGGCACCCCTCCTTAGGGGAAACGATCTCTAGATTCAGCAGCATCTCGATGAGCCCTTCGGAAATGTAAAGCTAGGCGATAATTCAGCCGTCAAAATGCTTGCACGAATGCAAGAATTCATCATGATATGAACGAGTAAGTTAT